AGGGATGTGTAGTTGCATTGAGCAAGATAATCCATGTTACATTTCTCCTAGCGCGTATCGTGTGCACTCTTGTGACCACAGGAATCGTGTGGCTTTGCGTGTCTTCGTGGTATTATTGGTCTGGACCGGGCTGGACTTCAGTTGAGTTAAACCAAGACATTAATGTCAGCAGAGGTTATCAGGAATTGAATTGGAACCGGAAACTGGGACAACTGGAACTTGCAATTGACGACTTCGTTTGAGAACGATATGAAGGGCAAACGTGATGCACTCGCTCTCCCTGGGCCAGGTCGAACCGGAATTTGATTTTTTATTATGGATTTTATTTTATTTTATTTTTTTCCTATCTTATGTGCATCGCTTCCTTTTGCTGGATGCATACCTGAGACCATCTCATGACTGGCGACTGCTACCGGGCAAGAATATGTCTCGGGATGAAAAGGATATGACGGCGGCACGAGCCAAGGGTTGGGGCCAAATGATGGACGGTGCGATGAGAACCTCAGAGAATAGTTCGGGAACTGCATCCTACGTTATATCCCCCAATGTTATGAACCGCAAGCCCACATGTGTGACTCCGAGCCTACGGAAGCCTCGAGCCCCCCGTCACCCATGCTCGAGGATCTCCAGCGAACGAGAGGACCGACCGGTCACAAACGACAATAAACGTCTAAACTAATAGTGCGAAACGACGAGGGATGATCGCCAGCTCTGATATCGTCACCGAGGTGCTTCTTTCGACCAAAGATAACACCACCGCAAGTCATCAAAACACGGAGTATGTAACGAAGACGAGAAGCCAAACCAGGGTTAATCTGCATAGGCGCTCGCTCACGTAGCTCCAACCAGTAAGAACTTGATGATCCACGATGGAGCTTCCCAGAACGGGCTAGAGCTCCCCCGATCCATGCTCAAGGCTCACCTCAGATGCCACGGGAGACCAAACGAAGGGAATTAGTGTCGCTAAAAGACCCCAACTGGATTCAGGCTGTTTCTGGCAGTGATCAGCTCAACATTGATTCGTTAGGAATGCAGACCGGGGGGTCTCTTTTTCAGCGCTCCTCAACTGATGGTCCTTTTCCTAATTCAAACTATCCCGTCCCACTCCTGGTCAGCCTCTGTCTCTCTTTCTGGCTGCCCGCTCCCCGTGTCTTCCGCCCCTTGCCACTTGCAATGCTGCTTTAGGGAAGAGGAGCGTCGAGGGCGGAACTGCCAGCCGGAGATGCTTTCGCTAAAAGGAAGCCGAGCTGCAAACCACATCGCCCTGCGTCGCCGGTGATAGGTACTCCGTACTGTCCAGCTCGTGGGCGCCAAAAATTCTCCAAGCGGAGCAATTTGCCCTGCCAACGATGCAAGGGAGCTTCGGGCTGGCTGCAGTCACTGCAGCGTACACCACATTATGGGTACCAATGGCATCCAATACTGTCAGCCGTCAATCAAATTCGTCCTTCCTAGTGTAGCGTACTACTGTACTTGTACAATATTGCTGCATCACTGGGCGGAGCGGTGGAGCAGAGGCACCCCGGAGTCCATCCATACATTTGCACCTTCTCACGTTAGCAATGTCAGCATGCAGCGTACCTTCTCCACTCCATGCCGGGAAGGTGCAGCAGCTCCATGCTGGTACTTTCTAGTGGCCAGCCAAAGTGGCCTGGCGATGGGTGGAGGCTGCCTGTAAAATTCACCGAAAGAACCCATTCAGGACAGCAGCTGCATTTTTCTTCCAAGCTCTCTGCAGAATACGGTGCATTACAACACTAGTGGGTAGTGCAAGGGAGTGGCTTAACTATGTAGCCAGCAGTATTACTGGTTCCCGACACTGCTCGTCACACTACCTTGATGTGCATAGGGATTGAGCTTGTCCTGACACTGCCCCGTCCCCAGCGGATGCAAGAATTACACACATTGATCGGATGTGCTTTCGACCGCAAGCAGCATGTTTCGTACAGGCTCATGCCGTGACAGGAGGGTCTGTCCGGAGGCTAAACAATTCGCAAGGATTATTGAGTTTCTTCTTGTTCTTCTTGCCTCTTCAGGCGTTTACTTCGTAAGGCTGGGGATCACAATTTCCAGTTTAGGGCACGAAGTACTGGATAAGCGTCGAACACTATCATTGATACATGTGCTTCAATGTATGTAAGTCGTGGCTGTCCATGTGGTGGAGGCACCAAATCAATTGATCAGTGATGTTTGTGCTGATACGTCATTTGTGTGCCGCAGCAACCACATTTGGATTGAAGGCACATATTAATACGGCAATCAATGATTGCTGCCACCGTAGTACCTCTCGCCTGGGTTCATGTTGCATGCGGGCCAGGGTCCTCTGCTATAATCCATGACGGAAATCGAAGCGACCAACTGGCCGAATTGCGGACTAATTTTATAGATCCCTGGCAGAAAGAAGCAATGAGAATTTGCTGCGTGGCTGCTCTATCAGAAAAAGAAAGAAGAAAAAAAGAATCCTGGATGAACTCGAAGCCAGCTTCATACCGCCTCGGCGTCTCCTCCATCCTAGGATGTCTCAGTGGCTTACACAAGTATGAATGTACAAAGTCAAACATGCCCACAGCCCCCCGCAACAAGCAACAGCCAGCCTTGCTACCCCTGCTAGCGGCTCTCGGAGGGGAGCATCGATACGTTTTAGCGTCGACAAAAGGAATGTTGACCCTGTGTCTTCTCGACCATGGTTGGCATTCGGGGTGTTTTTGATGAGCTAACACTGCATGGTAAAACATTGAATGGGGGCACTTTCTGTCCGTCGCTCTGGAGTGGATGGACGAGGTACGAAGTGAGTGTCTAGAATGGGCGATACGCCGACAAACGCCCACTTCGTCGTAATTTGAGAAAAACCCTCTTGGTGTGGTCCAGCCTCGACTTCGTACCTCATCGTCAACGGGTTACTAGTCTCTGTAATCTCGGTGCTCAGTCGCCCGGCGGTCAAGGCTCCAACAGTGTCAAGGCGCTTATTACCTCGTAGCCAGGCCAGGAGAGGAGGGGCGGGATTACTCGGCAAGACTGGATCACCTGTGAGTTTGAAACAAGGCATGGATGATATGGGTATGGGCCGTTACAGCGAAAAGAAGTCGTCAAAGCAACGGGGTTCGATCCCGTAGTGAAAATGCGACCAAAAAAATGGGTGAGCTACGAACTACGAAGTACCTCAGACGTGCCTTGCCCTCAACCAGCAATCGGTGCTGGACAATAGCCCAGCAACGGCTTAATGTTCAGCAGCACTAAACGTACCCACCCACTTCCAAGGACAGCGAATGTACTTTTGCCAGTAGTGTAGTATATGCCTGCTCAAACACTTCGCCTAGGAGCATCAATCGATATTGGTAGTAAAGAATCCCGACCGACATCACATACATTGCGAGATAGAGCTGCGAGAGAAGGTCTAAGCATGCAACTTTTAATTCTTTTTACATGAGTCTTGCCCGCGTCTTATGTAGAAGCTCGATAGCCCGTCCCGCATCGGTAGGGGGCAGAACGAGGACATCGACTACAGAGTACGAAGTACAACAAGTCACAAAGGTAGCATTCACGCACACTTGACGAGTACGAAATACTTCCTACACAGCACCACTGGCAACGCGAGCGTGCGACCGACTCCACCCTTCGCTTATGACTGGTGCGTACCTTTTTTAAGCGTGCTTGGACCATGCAGGCGATGTACCGCTCCGTGATTCGGCACCTGGCGGCCATCTGCAACTCTACCAAGTACACAACCTCGTGTTCGAGGTACACCAATGACTGACTACTTTGTACCTGTGAGGATCCTCCGCGCCGCGTCTCCAGTCCAGACCCCCCCCCCGATCGCTCTCGCATCCCCACCTCTACCAAAAAATCTCCCGTAGCAACCCATTGGCAACCAGCAACCAAAAGATCTAGTGCTCACGCACGATCCGCCATCGAGAAGCAGTGGCTCAGCGTCCGTTTGGTTCGTTGGATCTTCGGAAACTGGACCTGTCCCCAAGTCTCTGTATTCTGAATAGATAGTTCCTGGATCCAGCTCCAAATTCCCAAAAAGTTTTCTGAACTTCTATCCTGTTTTAAATAACCCCCTCCACCCACGACCTCATTCACGTTTCCCCCTTCTATCAGTCATCCGTTCTCCGGTTCCCTCAATTCGTCCTTCCACTCCGATCCTTCTTCGTGTCAACCTCACCCCCCTTCACCAGCTTCACTCTCTACGTATATCTGAGAGCGAAGGAGGGTAGAAACGCGGAAAGTACACGGTTGATACTCAAGCCGATCGACTCGGTCGAAGCCGTCTCCAACAACCCCGAGAGACCATTCCTCCCACCGCCATCGGCCCCGACACGAGGCCAACTACGAGCCACGAAATCTCACGACTACCGCCACGACCACGACCACGCCCCGTCCCATTCCATTGTAACGATCTTCTACTGTCTGCCAAAATCAGACTAGCCGTTCTTCGAACTTCGTCTTTTCGACTTGGGCATCCTTTTGATCTCGACTATCCAAACTGCCGAACCCACCCAGGTCTCACATTACAACCCCTTTCGGAGCAGACAGGAATAGGTATGTCTTAAGTCAATGCCTAGACCTGCTCCGATAGTGGAGCAATTGGACGACGGTTTCTATCTCCCCTGAACCGGGACCAGAGTCAATTGCTTCTTTTCAACTATCACGCCGTCGACTGGGAGTCTTCTTTCTTTTTCGTGGCCTGGGGCGTACTAACATGGCAAGAATCCATAGACTCCGAGTCCTTTTAACTGCCCATTCGCCTCCCAGAAAATACGAGTAGTCGAGATCGAGCATCTTTTGTTCTCCGCTTCTCTTACCACCTACTCTTTCATCAGTGAAGGAAGGAGGAACAGAAGCTTTCTTTGCCTTTGGCAGCAGGAGTTGGCATTTGTGCTTCTGCTTTTACGACTCCCACAAACTCGGCCTTGGCGACCCTGCTTCACGGCAGCATTGCGTTAAGGATTTCATGAGATATTTCTCTCGATATCTTTCCTAAGTTCTCGGTAGTAACGATGGAGGAATCATCTCCCCTGGCGGCTATTCACCGCCCAAGATTTGCCCAGCCTTGGGCAAAGAAGGATCTATTCATCAACCTTGGGTCTGGAGCGAGTGGCTTTCATTTTCGAGAGAAGATTCACAGGCCAGAGTATATTGGCATTAACAATGTTCGAGGCTCCTCTCCAGCTGCTAGTCTTGCGGCTGACCTGTCCCAGAATTTCCGCCTGGATAGCGATGCAAGGTAAGGCTCTGGATCCCTAGACCGCATTTCTAGTCAGGGGCTAGTTGCAGCTAACAATACGCTTTTGTCCAGCCCACGTTTCGCAACTCCTAGGAGAAACTTGTTCTCCGCTGCTGCCCTGATTGCAGCTGAGGCTCGTGGTAAGCCGAATGACCCCGGTGGCTCGAAAGGTGGAGTTGCGGGTAGGCTAATAAGTCATTACTTGTAGAGTACATCACGACCCCAGAACTTGCCTCCTCGTCACCCGTAGCAATGGATGGCATGCTTCAGGACTCTCCTATTCCTAAGTCCGCAGCCCATTGCTCCGACGAGATGATGTCCCCTACCCCGTTTCCAGATGTTGCCGAAGTCAGCGATGTCCAAAATGATGATGATGATGATAATGCCAGCCACGGTATTAATGAAGATTACGATGAAATGATGATGGACTCGCCCGTTCCGGTCTCTCGCAAGTCCTCTCTCGAGGGCCTCAAATTTCCCAATTTAGAGTGCGTATCTTTTCATTGATTCTGCATCTTCGCCGAAGAGTGCTAATTGTGTTTCTCCTAGGCGACGCGCTCCACGCCGACCTTCGATCACGCGTCTCAAGGGGTACACGACTTCGACGGTCCAGTGCCGCGCTGCTAAGGCCGAACTCCCCTATTTTCGATTTGGAGATGCATCACGACTGAGTCATGTAAGCTCAGCGTCATCTCTGACCGAGTCTTATGAGTTCCAGGCCCCGTATGAGAAGCGACCACAGACGGCCAACAGCTCTGCTCCAGGCGTCCCACCTCATCTTCGCTGCCGACCGGCCATGCAGTCTTTCGGTAGTGCCAGCCGAAGTGGCTCTCCCATTAACGGACATGCCCGCCGGACCTCAAACCCTTTCCTCCGGTCGCGCAAGACCATCCGTAGGTCGTTTAGCATGTTTGAGCATCCGGAGGATATCATGAAGCCCAATACCGAAACCACAACTTCCCCGCTTCCTAAGCCGCTCGAGGCAGTCATGGACATCGAGGAACCTCAAGAGCCTCTTCTCCCGCACTTCTCTTCCGATGATCCTGGTGACAGTATACCACGAATCACCAAGGATACTCTGGTCGACGTTCTTGATGGCAAGTACAGTGGCCAATATGACCAAAAGCTCATCATCGACTGCCGATTTGAGTACGAGTACGAGGGTGGCCATATTGACGGAGCTGTAAACTACAATGATAAGGAGCTTCTCGCTGCCCACCTGTTTAACACTCCCATGGACGGTCGAACCCTGATCATCCTCCACTGCGAGTACTCCGCCCATCGAGCTCCTCTTATGGCGAGACACATCCGCTCTCAGGACCGTACCATTAACGCGGAGCATTATCCCAAGCTCACGTACCCCGATGTCTACATTCTCAGCGGCGGCTACAGCGAGTTTTTCCTTACGCACCGATGCCGATGCTATCCCCAGAACTACGTAGAGATGTCTGACGAAAAGCATCAGAGGACTTGCGAGAGGGAACTGGGTCGACTGAAGAAGACCCGCAGGCAGCCAACCCTCGGTCGTGCCAAGACCTTTGCCTTTGAAACGAGTACCGCTAAGAACTGCTCGCCATTTCCCAAACACCGGAGCGTGGATGATTTTTCACTCGGCTCGCCTAGTGACGGCGGTGCTAGAGGCCGAGTTGTCACGTTGTAAAAACGAGTTGACCTACTTTTTCGACACCGACGATGCCCATCTCCCGGTGGCGTATAACACATTCTTTCCCCATCACCATAATTGACGTTCCACATGGCCCCCTTCTTCCTTCATCCTCAACTACACTTTCTCTTTCGAACTTTGGCCCTCTCTCTACATTCGACATTCGACATCCGGATCAACGGCAGCCATGACATACGCTCACGACCGCGATGACACACGGTTTTACCGATACGCCCGCCCTTTATTCACAGCCCTAATAGAGCTCGATGAGGAACCTGTTTCTCTTTTCTTCTTTTCGTTGTCATCATCTGATCATAGACGCATTTGCATGACGGATTTTTGTTCTTTTCGCATCGTCCAAAGCGTGCTTCGAACGGAGACTACTGGATCAGGAATCCGAACAGTATCCCGCGTTCGTATTGTTTCGCATTCACACACGTGGCCTCGTCCAGGCCCTTGGTTTCTCTCTTTACTTTTTACCCTTTTTTGTCACTCGGCGATTGTCGGTTCTGGGAGTCGTCATTGATGCAAGCTCCTTTTGGAGCATACTAAAACGACCTACCCCCGGTTGATGCCGGCCTGTTTATACCTGCCGACCCTTGAGCACACCTTTTTTACATCAAACCGTGTCGATACCCACGCCTAGCGGTCCCTCGTCGTATTGACGATGGGGCCGAAGCGCGAAGTTGTTTTTACTCTTGTCTACCGAAGTCTTGACGGACCATGTTTGTCTAATAAGCGGTGGATAATGGCAGATGTGCCGAATAGGCTTCCTGTCTAAACTGTTTCTTTTTGGAGGAGGGAAAGATGGAAGATGTATGGCCCGGCCACCCTCATCATGAGATGAATAAGTGGTTGTATTTTGGTCCTTCACCCTGCCTAAGAATGACACGGTTCTTTTTTTTTTTTTTTTTTTTTTTTTTGCTCGGTGTTTTTGGCAGGCATCGGTTTTCTTTTTCTTCAAGCCGTCTTCTTTCTTGATTCCCCCTCACAGTTGGTCCATTGCTGTGTACATTAGAACTATTTTTCTATCTTTATATGGGATGCTTGATTCCCCATAGTCACCTCGTGTGGCACTCATCTTTGTTTTGTCCATCACAATACAAAAAGTTTCATAACAACCGTTACTTGCTGTAGTCACAACCCTGAGCTACGTAGTTGATCTCTGGTCTATTTCAAATAAAGACTGATCAACACAGATAGACTTCAATCTTGCATCCCTTGCTTGCATTATGATGTTGTGCAGTCACAAGGTGTAATGTCCTAGTATCAATGGAGGTAGAAAGTAGAACTGGGGAGTTCATGGGGCCTATCCTCTGCTGGGCTTGGTCACATCACTGTCAACAGGATGATCTCTTGGCAGTATAGGCCAAGTCATCAACGATCAATGATTGCCCCCTTGTCATCTACTAGTATTGATATTTAATATCGGTGTTTTTCCCCAGATGGAGCATAGTCCTCAGGTATTACTGTATCTTCATCTAGGCAATGATTTCAGTGCCCAACGAAAAAGTGGCTGATTCGAGAGTCAAACAATAATTTTGCTGACCGCCTTTCAGTGGGCAGCTCCTCCATGGCCGATCGTCCCATCTAGACAGGGCTCCTAAAAAGTACAAGGAGAGCCAAGGCAGAGGATGGCCCGCGTCTTCAGGACAAGCAAGCAAGCAATCAAGCCGGCGCCAAAAGGCGTTGGGCTAGTCGAGACATGGACGCTATTGTCTCAATAGTCCAGATGCTGCTGAGGGAGATCGAGGAGTAAATAACGATATATTTGAAGTTCTCCTTCGTATGTGCATATCAAATCATATCGGTGCGGATGTTCCCTCTACATTAACGGCAACGGCATCCTGCAGACTGAGATAGTGGAGACGAATTTTGAGCACATCCCTACGGGATCGAGGTCTGTAACTGGGCATCAGAAGCCTTTCCATGTCGGGCATCTGTACCCTCAGTATTCTACAATAGTTATTGTTAGAGCGAGAGAGCATGGGTAGCCACCTGTCGCCTTCTGAATCGCCAGAACCGGCTAGGACCCTCTCCCATCGAACATTTTCAATGGGTCGAAGATTCAAATGCCTGCAGCTGCAGACGCTACGGGGCTACCAACTGCGAGGTTACTCAGCTAACTGGAGGGGTTGGGCTGCAGCTTGCCGTTTGTATAAAGTTGAAGAAATTTTTTCCATGGTTTGATCTGAATTGATCTTTTCTTCACTCTTTGTTTCCGGGTCTCTCTCTCTCTCTTTTTGTCGAGCATCGAGCGAACGACGTGGAAAAGGTGAGAGCGAAGCCAACAGCTCTTGTGGTGGTGCTCGGGTTGGAACTTGGGGGCCAAACTCAAGATACCCGTCAGTCGGGCTCTTTTTTTGCCAGACCGGACCTCCACCTCCATTTGGTCCATCCACGGCTCGGGTGTGGGCTGGGGACTAGTGTGGTAGGTTGTGAGGTAGGGCACGGCAGTGAGATTTTGATGGACAAACCAGTCAACGCGAGCTTGAACCAGCCCAGTCCAGATTCGATACCCTATTTCAATCCCTCCCCCCGTTTCCTCCTCATTTCATCCATTGATCCATCCTTTCGCCCCATCATCATTTTATCTTGTCTCAGCAGAGAGGCCACGTACTTCGTTCGCGTCCGGCTGCAATCCGCGTACGCTCGTGGGTTCTTCGAGGGACTGCGACAGCGGGCTAAGCCTAGCGAGTAGCAGCTGAGCCAGTAAGACCTGGTGAAAAGGTGCTGCCTAGGTGGTGCTGGCGTGGAAGCTAGCAGAGCCACCAGGCACTTGGCTTGGAGGTGCAGTCAAATCAAGATTTGATTGACCCATTTGATCCCGATATTTGGGGATTTTGTCGCCAAAATTGCAGAGACGGTCCCGTATAGCGTTGCCTGCAATACGGGGCAGCATCAGCTCTTCAATCGAATGGTAAGGAACAACGCGTCACTGAAAATTAGCTCCAGTACAGCCTGAGCCTGCCCTGAGGTGATGGAACACTCGTATCCTCCCACGCCCCGATGGCGCTACCCCTGACTTTTGCCTCCCGCCCAATTCCCGATTTTTGATTGACCCTGGGCCTGGACTGCCTTTGCATGTGGCTACTAAAATTATTTTCTTGTTTTATCCTCTGCCGCTGCTACCTCAAGCAAGCTATTTCGCAAAACCTGTCCTCATCCATCCACCTCGACTAATCTTTCCCTCCTTCACGCCTTCCCGTCTTTAAAGCAATACCACCCTTTCAAACCCCATCTCGAATCTGCCTCTCGTTCCCATCGTCGAGCTTTCTCTTACGCGCCTGCTAACACTTCGTTTCTACAAAAGCCTAGTGCTCCATTCCTCGAATAGAACAACTCTAGCATTTGCCTATCGGCTCCCCCTTGCGACGGTTCCTTCCCCCTTCTCAGATCATCACTATCCAAGAGTCTATCTCGACAAACCACAATCATTTCCGACACAATGGCCCGCATTCAGATTCCCGTCGACGTTCTCACGTCTCGTCTCAACATTGGAGACCGCATCAACAGCATGCGCTCCGGCGGCCTTGCCAACCGCTTCTCCAACCTCCGTCCCATCTCCGAGTTCTTCGACTTCAAGCGCGTCTCGAAGCCCCAGAACTTTTCCGAAATCCAGTCCCGCGTCAACTACAATCTCGGCTACTTCTCCAGCAACTATGCCGTCGTCTTCGTCATGCTCAGCCTGTACGCCCTCTTGACCAACTGGCTTCTCCTATTCGACATCATCCTCGTCGTCGCCGGCATGTACCTCATCGGCCGCCTCGAGGGCCGTGATCTCGAGGTCGGCAACTTCAAGGCGACGACCTCGCAACTCTACACTACTCTTCTCGTCATTGCTATTCCTCTCGGTCTTATTGCTTCGCCCTTCAGCACCATCATGTGGCTGATTGGCGCCTCTGGCGTGACTATTCTCGGTCACGCCTCACTGATGGACAAACCCATTGACGAGGCTTTTTCTGGGGAGGCGGTCTAGGTGGTCGGCCGCGAGCTCCCGATTTTGCGCCCCAATGGGGAAGACCATCGAGGCGCGGGCGGCGGAGGGGGGAACATGGGGGCCAAGACTTCTGGGACCCGATTCGGCGGGTCGTTGAGGAGGTTGACACGGACGAAGATGGCGAGGCTGCGGAGGGCCGTGGAGCAGGTAATGGTTTAAACAAGGGGCGGAGTAGACGATTTGGCGGCGAGGAGTCGTCCCGATATCCGGGTATAGACATGGGTGAACAAGGAAACAACAATCACGTAACGGCGAGAAGAGGTTTTGCTTACCATTCCGAAGAGGAGGAAGAAGGGGGTGATGGCAGGAAACACGATGATGAAAGTTCAAGTGACGACGACCTAGCGAGCGTGGATCTGGACGCGCTCTCTCCGGCGGAAAGGGACGAAGTTCTTTTGCGGTCCGCTTTCCGCCAGATCGAGAGAGCAAAGGAAAAGGGCAGGTCGGACGTCCATCTCACCAAGGAAGAATTGGCGGCGTTGGAACGTAGGAGGAAACGCATGGAGGAGGAAGCGGCTGCCCGGAAGGCGGCACGAAAGAGGTCAAGATCTCAGCGCGTCGCAGTACCCTTATCTCAGTTCGAGCCGACCTCTCGTAAGAAGAGAGTGCCTTCGGCGGCTGATTTGGCGGCTCTCGATCCTCATAGCAGCGGTGGTGGCTACCCGCCCATGGGGTACTTCCCACCTCCGTCGGCAACAAGAACACGATCGTCTACGACAAGCTCCGGCCGCCCTCCCAGTCGCGGTGGGGATCGCCGTGGGTCTCCGCCATTTACATACTCCTACGTGGAGCAGCAGCAGCAGATATTGATGCAGCGATACGCGTCGGACCCTAACGCTTCCCGGTCCAGGGGGGCCCGGGCGAGACACGAAGAAGACGCCGAGGCCTCGTCAAACTCATCCAACACGAGCCCGCGGCCTCCCGTCCCCGTCGACCCTTTCCAGTATCAGGTTGCGGGTCCGCGCGCGCCTCGCGCTCCTGGCGCTGCGGCCCCTTCCGGTGCTAGGAGACCGGTATCGGGCCCGGCGGAAGTTGCGTACGGTGGTCCTCGTCGGGACACGGTGACAGGGCCTCCTGCTGCAGCTAGGAGGCAGGCCAAACCGAACGAGGAGACGAGCGAGGAGTCTAGCGAGGGTTCAAGCGATGACGATGATGACGACGAGGACGGTGATGAAGACAACGGTGTTCCCGCTAAGGCCCCGAGTCCTCCTCAGACGAGAAGAGCAACTCGCGCCACGGCCATCGTTGTCGAGGAGGAGGAGAGGCCTAAGAAGCCCCCCACTCCTCAGAAGAAACCTGCTGGCGATAAGAGCGGCGGTGGTGGAGGAGGAGGAGGAGGACAGAGGAGGCGGAAACGGAGATGAACTTTTTCGGTTGGCAAAGCAAAAACCTGTTTGAACTGGTTGTGTGGTTGGCGTCTTTTTTTGGGATCCCAGGTCTTGTTGGCCCATCTCCTTTTTTTTTTTTTCTCGGGCTTTGGCTGGGATTTGGTGTGTATTGCTCATAGAACATTATCTTACTGTTTATTAATTCTCTACCGGATTCACTTTCTTTGCATCTACCCAAGTTGGGGTCGGCTGGTGACGCTCATTCTTCGTACTCCATACCGCGAATCAATTCCCCGCCCAAACACCTCGCACATCAAAATCAGAAAAGAGCTTGGTTTGCAACTGGACGACGAAAACTGTCGAAGTCTCGCGAAGTACACAGCATTGAGCATTTGAGAAGCCCGCCTCCCCCTATCCGCTTCGCAAGACCGTTCGCGCCGGAACTATTCCCTCGAGAGCTTAGCACGAGGTTTAAAGTTCGAGCTCCTGAGCTAGCTTAGGAGTAAATTGGACCCATTCCATTGACACGAAGTGCCGAGACTATCAACAGATATACATCAGATATAAAAAGCCAGCCAAGAAACCTTGGCCGGAGAACAAATATAAACAAAAAAAAACTAGGTCGAAGAAGATCCTTGGACTCATGCACTTCATCCATACATAAACCATCCAACAGAGAAAAAACACAATGGCCGCTCTATCCATCCCGCGTCGCTCTAGGGTATCTTCCCAAGCAGACTCTCTTGTATCAGTATACAACATCCACGACCCCGCTGTCACCCACGAACGAAACCCACCGCCCCCATCTCTACCTCAAGAAAACATCTTCATCACACTCGAAACCCCACCACCCCACCCATCCTCACCCTTCCTCTCCCACCTAAAATCCCCATCCCTCCCGCGCCCGACCTCCGCCGCGCCCGCCGCGCCGCCAGCGATGCTCCCCGCCATCTTCATAGCCTCACCCACGAGGCCGATTCCATCGCCCGTAGCTGCCTTGGAAGCTACGCCGAGGAGTCGCTCGATTCCGGCGGGCATGCGCAGACCGAAGCGGGCGAGGAGGGCGGTCAGGGCGCCGCCGGTGATGAGGGGCACAAGGACGAGGAGGAAGACTTTGAGGGGGTGGCGCTTGGCGTACTTGACGAGGTCGCGGAGGAGTTGCTTGAGTTTTTTGTAGGCGCGATGGATGAAGCCTTTGCGAGGGGAGCGTTTGTAGTAGGAGGAGCGGCCTTTAGACGGAGACTGTGTTAGTTTTTTTTTCTCCGGAGATTAAAAACAAGGGAAGGGGGCAAAAAAAAAAAGAAAAAAAACCTACCGAGACCGAAAAACGAGGAGCGACTGCCGCTGGGAAGGCCAAAGAAGGAGGACTTCGAACTATTGTGCTTGCCGTGTTTGTCCGAGGAGCCGAAGAGCGACACCCGCGAGCTGCCGTGCTTGCCTCCGCTGCCACCGCCGAAGAAGAATGACGAGGCGCTACGGCTGTGGCGAGACTCGCGCGACGGAGAGCGGGATCGGGATCGGGAGCGGGACTTTTTGTTCTGGACGGTGTATTTGGTGCGTCCGCTGTGGGACTTTTTGGAGACGATGGACACGCTGTCGTTATCCCAGAACCCCATCTTGATATTTTTCTTTTATTTTTCCCTCCCTTCTTCTCTCTTCCGGATGCTTTTCTTCGTCTCTTCTTGTTTCGCTCCAGGGAAATGCGAAAGGTGCGCTTTTTTCGGTGTCGATGCAGCGTTGTGGGGAATAACCAAACTCCGACTAGAGAACAACGCAGGTTCGGTGATCTGTCGCTTCGCTGTCGTGGGCGATTGCCAGCAGGGGGCCAATGCGTGCGATTGAACGCAAAGAAGAGGAGGTGACGAAGCGCGTACACCGAAAAGACCAAAAGTTGAAAAAAAGAGAGGGGATTTTGCGCAGGATTGCGAATTGCGATGAGAAGGGGATTGGCCGGGGATGAAGGAATTCCCATGAGTGGTTCTGGGCAGATTATGACTTGCTTACACCGCTTCGAAATTGGAGAGGTTGGAGCAATTGAAACCGGGAAGGCGGAGTCAAGATTGAAGCTCTGGACGAGCTCAGACCAAGCAAGACCCACAAAGTACACTAGTGTACAGAATATTAGTGCGACCGCAGAGTTCGAAGTGGCCTGCTGACGGGCCCCCCAAGCCAAGGCCTGGTCTTGAAAAGGCCTTGACAAGGGGAGCGGGGGTCGTTTGCATTCTGTCAGCTGTCCGCGGTTGACAAAACAATGGACGAAATCAACCTCAACAAGACTCCAGCACCTCAACGGCTCCAACTTCTTGACACGGAGCCGCAAGAGGAGAGGGCGATAGAGGGAAAGAAATAACCCTCGGGGACACATTTTCGAGTCCCGATTCGCTTGTGCAGGCTGGCTTACTTCGTACTAGCTTAAGTGGGGTGGAGAATATGATTCTCGGTTCAAGGCGTCTCAAGGCAGCCCTCCACCTCGAGCACCGAAAACTACAAAGTATTTGGCACTGATCGGATCAGTCATCGCACCCACCAATCGTAAAGCGATCCATGTCACTGCATTCAGCTGCGAGCGGGTCTGGGAGAGCTAAAGGGCACCGAAAACGAAAAGCCTTGGAAACAGGGCGGCTGCTTTCCTCTCCTTGCTTTTGTGTTGCTTTGTTCTCTTTTTGCCTTACCTTATTGATGAGGAAAAAAAGAGAGAGATAGACAGACAGACAGATGGAGACATGGAGTGATGGGATGGAGACATGGAGTGATGGAGACATGGAGTGATGGAGAGATGGAGAGATGGAGAGATGGAGAGAGAGGAAGTCGAATGTGTCTCTTTCTGCGTCGAGTCAAAGTATGAACTGGGGGAGAGCTATTGATGTCATCCAGCCTGGTTGTGAACAGAACAAGGATCAGTTGGGCTTGCACTTTTACAGAGCCCAAGTCCCAAGACATCGGAGCCAGCAAGGCACCCTGAGCCCAGGCACTCGACATTTCTGTGAACATACGAGAGCACCGGACCCACACTTCCACGACCGAAACCTCGATACATCTAGACGGCAACGATCTCACATTTAAATGGATTCAATGTATTGGCGTAGCGATTCCACGTCCCACGTCCGCTTGAATTGATTTCGGTGATGGTACACGATTTGATCCTTGTTAAATTGCAATTGGCTGGGATTTCGGTACGTTTTCCTTCGGTGTCCTGAGGCGGGCTCCCAAAGCCTCACTCTTTTATATCTTAAGGGAGGCCGCGAACCTCGGAACGTTTTAAGGTGGCTTGCGTCTCCGAACCGCCTCGATTCACTCCACGGCTCTTCCCTTTCCTCCCCCCCATTCTCTCCCCTTGATCACTCTTGTCATTCTATCCAACTCCAACCCTCCAAAAGGTCGTAAACCGCCTCAGGCTTCGATATTCCGGCAATATCGCGCCGGGGGCTGGCGATATCTGCCGACACGCTGCCGCTCCTTCTCCACTATCTTCTCGACACATTAAAATCATGGAGTCCAACGATGAGATCGACCTTGAGTCCATCTCAGGTCAGCTTCCTATGCTAAAATGCGAAACCTACGAAAACACTGTTCTGTAAGGCTGGCGAGGCTTTCCTTTATCGAGCGAGTTTTGCTTTGGTGTGCCAACTAACTTGTTGCCTCAAGCCCATTTCATCGTGATGCTGCTGGACTTCTTGGTCAGGAAGTGAGAGGTGAGACCCCGCCCACCCCCGGGCCCCTGCCCCGGCCCCGGCCCTCGCCCCAACCTCGAGGTCGACCTCGACCCGGGTCCGAGGCCGACAACAGCGTCCAACCTGCTATGTTAGATCCTGCTATTAACCAATATTTCGACTCTCTCAAGACCAGAACAGCTCTTCAGCCACCGATAGATCTCTTATCGGCATTCCGGGCGTCAGCGCCAACAGATTCGACACAACCACCCAATTATCGGGTCTGCCAATCGGCGGGGGTGCTTGGCTGAGACCTCGGCCTCCCTATCCCTCAACTACAACCGGATCCGACTATTATCCCACGCCAGTATTTAGCCCGGATGCCGCAGACGCTCGCTCCGAAGCCGGTTATTCAAGTTCTACTTTTCCGAGTTTCCATGACCGAGGGAGACCCAACGTGGGGTCGTATCCTAGCTCACCAAGTAGTTTCCTGAACGCTCCTGGACTTAGGGACCATCACCAACATGCAGACCGCCAAATTTACCCGCACAACTACATCCATAATACGGGCGATCTTTCTTCTAGTCCAGTCAACTATGTGAACCCCTTGGGTCGCGAGACGGCCCAGGCATTTCCAGGAATCGGCACCTCTCAAAATCACACCCCAAACTACAACTCTACAGACGAACACTCTCCTGGTCTACAAGTAGTCAACCATAGAAACTCACTAGGTCACACCCCGACCTTTCAACAGTCCAACTTCGGCGTAACCCAGCAGGGATCGCCGGGGACCACAGATCCCAATCCCTTCTATCCGGCGCAACAATTTTTAAGCGTTCCGGACCACCATAGATCAGGACAGCATCGGCCACATGGACCTTCAAGGCCGACCATCCAGACCTCAAGACCCAGGTCGCTCAGCCAGACGAGTACACGGCCTGGCTCAGTGCGGGAAAGTCGCGTGTCTAAATCCAACAGGGGCCCGACTTCTCCGATTCATCCGGACTTTTTCAGAAACCTCCAAGTTCCGCCAAGCTTACCTCGATCGCCGAGTGTCTCGTCGGCGACAAGCGTCAAGGGCAGGAGGAATGGAGCATTGTCAGCCGAGGCAGCAGAGAATGCGAACTTGGTGGACAAGAGCAGGTCGGTTTGCGTTGGCTGTAAATTATCCAAAGTCACGGTAAGTCAAGTAGTGGGGGAAGGAGGAGGAGGAGGAGAAGAAGAAGAAGAGGAAGAAGAAAGAGAGCTAGGCCCCAGATGACGATACTGACGATTGTTTGTCATTTGCAGTGCAAGCGCAAAAATCCCCTCGACCATAGCGACCCGTGCATTAATTGCGTGAAACAAAAGCGGCAAGACTTCTGCGCACTAGCTTGGTTTATTGATAAGTTTAAGGGAAACCCCTCGACCTGTCGTGAGTTCGCGTACCTTGTTTGCGATTTCGAATCATTCTTTCCAAAACCGCTGGCGGCCCTCGCCGTGAGGCTCCTTATAAGGGCTGGCTAACTATTGAATAGCCACGGATATCCTTCAATCTGGGGGAGATGGCGAAGCTAGGGCCAGCGTGGTTCTTGGGAATCTAATCAACTTCCCACTCCTGTGCGAAGGCATCGGTCAACTCATGCTCGACATGGGGAATTCTACAGTCAGCGTCCTCCTCTCCCAAGAATCGTATGAGATAGACCTCGTTAAATCCCACGAGTGCCTTCTCAAGCTTTGGGATCAACTCCATCATGATGGCGCTATGAGCCAGGATGGAGCCATCAACCTTCAAGAGTTTCTGGATAATAAATTTGATCGGAGCGCCGGATGGGATGATTGCGTCAAGGATTGGCGAGGTCTGGTAGGTTATCTCCTTGACTAGATGGTTAACCTGTGCATGGAAAAAAAAGGGGGGGTAATGGCAGACCCGCTAACATCTGGGATCCGGGGTTTAGGACGATTTTCCCATATGGATGGATGGCCTGGGCTCTGCAAGGTTCTCCGTGAACGACACGGAGCTTTGCGGTGAACAAGAGATTCGTCATCTCGCCAATCTCTGTCGTATCATCATGCGTCAGGTCGAGCTAACAGGGATTGGTAGATTCCAAGAGGCGTTCAATAGCACGGCGGCAGGGGATCTAGGGAGGTCTCCTTTTCCTCGTCAAGTTGGCCGCCTCGTCAAAGCCTATCGAAACCGCCTCGTCAACCAACCCTCTGAGCCCGCCCGTGAGACGCTGATACGGGCCGTGTATGAGAATCTTTACTTCCTCTACCTTTATCTCCAGGACAAAACGAAACCGAGGTATAGAGACGGGAGACCTCCTATCACCAGAGGCTATACTGAAGGAACCGCTATCGAGATCGAGGATGAAGAGGGATTCCCTCTTAATGCAAGTAAGGAAGGGTGTGTAGAATGGCTGGCACTTGGACGACGAAGCCTTCCAGCAAGGTTCGCTTGGCCGGATGGCTCAGGAGGGTTCTCGGAGTACTGAAGTTCGCGACTCAGTTTTATAATTCTTAGGCCGTGTTTTGATTGTTGGCATTTCCTCATGATACCTAACGATATTTTTTTTTTTTATTGGAAGGGGGGAGAGTTATTTATAGGGTTAATGGATTTGGGACGTGACCAGCACCTTGAATGATTGGATTGAGAGGGAAAACAGCATTGATTGAATGGAGTTTGATAGATACCTCAGTGTTCCTTTTGTTTACACGGCAAGGCATAGCGAAGCAAGACTTGGATTGGAACATGATTGATGATTGTTACGGCAAGCATCGGGTCACCCCTTTGTTTTGTTTCATTTCATTTTATTTTTTACTTTATATTTATTTCCTTTCTCTATCATCTTCGGACCAGACACTCGAAGCCCGACTCCCTGGACCAAAGTTTCAAGTTCCATCTCAGCACCACCGCGGGCTCGGCCATTCTCGAAAGAAACCCGGAGGAAGACCACCGAAGCTCACTTGCCCACTTTACCCATCATTTCCCGGGCCGTCGTCACCGGCGTCCACCAGCTCCAATCCGCTGCTTTACGTACAGGACAGACTGTCGAAAACCACACGGCTTCCCATGGTAATTTGCACTCTATCCATATATCCCATCTATCTCTAATACCCCTAACAATTCCGCAAATTAATCCATCCAGTGCAGCAGTGTCGATACCGCTTGTTTCGTTCAGCCATCGACACAGGCCACTGCGTCCTCTTTGTGTCTTCCCAATTGACTCTTTCCCTCGCTTTTGTATTTGGGCGTTCTGTCGAGTCTTAGGGTGATCGACCTTGCGATGTGATGCGTTAGTCGATGGTAGGCAGTTGACCTCCTTGGAGATACGAGTGCACAACTTTCGCGAGACGGACCTGGTTGAACTCGGCTCGCATCTCCGTCGTTTCCTCATCCCATCTGCGGATTCCCCGCCTTCTCCTCATCTCTCCCCCACATATTCGGCTCCCCTTAATCAATCAATCGAAGGGGATGTGAGCGTGGAGAGAAGGGGAGGAGGGAAACACTATAGGTCACCCGATATCACCATGGGCCTTAACAAAACCGGTAGGAAAACAATGAAGAGAAAACCGGCCTCGCTTCCGCAGCCGAACCATTTTTCGTTTTTATTATTAACTTATTATGTCTTTACGCATTCAAAATGTCGGGTTTCTCCCTTTCCTGTCTCCTAAGTGCCTGGTCCTGTCCCTCTCTCACTTTATCCCGCTGTCTTAAACCCTTGGTAACCCCCTGCCATCGATATAAGTTAAGGCTTTCACTTAAAAGCCCATTTCCTGCGGATATCCCTCTCTCGCCCTCTACCGCAAAGTACCTAGCTTCTCTCTAGCTTCGTCTCAGCATGTTCCGCTCGCTCCTCCTCCTCGCCCTCACCCAGGGCATCTTCGCCCTACCTGCCGCAGAGCCCAGCTGCCCCATCGTCTTCGACGGCCGCGTCCCCAAGGATGCCTCCCTGACCGACTTCGACGCCAACAATGGCGGCGGCTGGATGCCCTTCAACCCGGGCTACGTCAAGGGCGAGACCCTCAAGTGGAGCGAGATCCTCAAGCTCCCCGAAGTCGCCGAGGCTTCCCGCTTCGACTCAGACTCCGGCACGGTCCCCCTCGAGGTCACACTGTCCGACAAGTCCATCTTCATGACCCAGAACGGGTTCCGCCGCGCCGGGCTCCAGTTCCTCAAGGACAGCAATGAGGGAAGCCCCGCTTCCAAGGGAAAGAAGACGATTCACTTTAGCTTGAGGACGGATCCGCAGAGGGCGTTGAATCTTACGCATGAGTATATTCTCGTGTGGCATGAGACGGCGGCGTATGATGCAAACCAGTTTAATTTCCAGACTGGGACTATCCTGGGCCAGACTGGGCTGCCGCGTGATACGTATAAGTTGTTGGATCGAAATAATAAGCAGCTTTGGTCGACTCCTATTAAGAGCGATACTTGGCAGAACTTTGGCATTACCGTTGACTACACCGGAAAGTAAGATTTCCTCCCTTCCTCATTTTTCTCTCCTTCCCGACCAAGTGGATCGATCCGTTCGAAGAGATCATGAGCCGATAGAACTGACACGAATTAAAAGCACCCTCCAAGTATGGTACTCGGAAGGCGACGAGGAACTCGCCAAGGCAACCGACCCCATCAACAACAACAACGCCGGCGAAGGCCAGTACCAGGTCGGCATGCTCAAGAAGCCCACCGGAACCAGCGACGTCGTCAACTCGGGTTACCAGGAGAGCGGTCTGGACGAGGGTCTCATCTACGGCGGCATCTTTATCGAGGATAGTAGTGCCGACACCTGCGTCTCGAAATAGAGTCAGCAGTTTTTTTTTTCTTTTTTTTTTTTTCGGTGGGATTGATGAGAAGGTGTTGCGAAGATGGGAGCAGCTTGGAGACAACAAAAGTATAGATGGTGAAACTAGTAGCGCTCTGTAAATACGGGAAATATATGCGCCGTTTTGTTCCCCAATGAACACAAGAGCTATGCATGTTCTGGCATCAATATGATCTCTTTTCAATTCAATTATTCTTTCCCAACTTGCCAGCCGCCTTTCGCAGCAAGCGAGCCCCTCGCAGGCAAAGCAGACCAGAGCCTCTGCCGGAGTGGGTTGTCTATATATAGGTATAGATGTGAATATGCGGATATACATGGCTATGTGTAACCCTTGGGTATACAAATACAAAGATCCGGCAACGTCGTCCACGGCCGGCTTCTTCCCAAGTTGACCACGGACGAAAAAGCGGGACAACAAATATACAAGATTTATTCACCTTCTCCTACTCTTTTTGCTTCAGAATACGTCTTACACGCTTCTATAGCCTGTGTTCCCTATGTGCACCGTCGGAACTATTTGCCGGCGACGCCGTCCTCACGTCGAGGTGATGATGGTCCCCGCCATGCCTAAGCAGCCCGGCGTCCTCAGAATTCTCGTCGGTTTCGATATCGCTAGCGCTATGAGGCGACGTCGACACGGATCCTTCCAGCATGTGGTGCTGCTTGTGGACTTCGGCCTGCGCCTCGCGACGCATCTTTTGAATCTTGAACCAGTTGTAGGCGAAAATGGCGACCATGGTCGTTAGCAAGCCAACAAAGTTAACGGGCGTAAGCCTATCCTCGAAGACGAGGGCCGCGGCCGAGATGGTGACGACCTCCTTAAAGATGCCGGCAATGGAGAGCGTGACGACGGAGGTGCGCTTCAGCAGAGCGAATTCGGACGCCGTCATGAGGAAGGCGATACAGCCCGGGAAGAGCAGGAAAGCTGGGGTCATGAAAGTTCCCCACTCGCCCTGAAGCGTGACGACACCTTCGATGAGAGGGATGAAGCCCTCTACCATGAAGCCGAGCAAGAAGAGAGAGGCGAACATGACGGGGGCGAGGTAGAAGATGCTGGAGAATGGGTTGGAGGTGGCGGGGTTGCGGAGTAGTAGGATCTGGGTGAGGGCCCAGCGGAAACCGGAGAAGAAGGCCGCCGAGATGATGAGGATGAAGCCACCGAGGTGGAACTTGACTTCGCCGAAGACCATCATGACAACGCCGATTGTCATGACGGCGATAATGGTAACAAGTCTGAGAGTCGGGGTTTCGAGTCTGAACACGAACGCAAAGAGAAGAACGAATGCGAGAGCAGAAGATTTACACATAGCTAAAGTACTGTCAGCACGCCGAAAGACAAGACACCGCCCGGTAAAGGCAGGTCTGATTAGGTGAATAAGAAGTAGAGTAGGCAGCATCGTGCGGGAGAGGAATGACTCTTTGGAACTCTGCCGTCATCACCGGAAGAATTATCACATACTGTAAAATGTTAAGGTGATGAACTTCAGAGAAGTATTCCCGAGGCCGATGTCCAGTCCAGTGGCAGCGCCGCAGGGGGTAATTCTCGTAAGATAATACCATTTGGTCATTATGGGTTGCCTAGGCTCAGACTCATGCCTCGATCGACCCATGTCCGAGCCTAGGTGATTCTGAGGTCGAAGAGAAGGTACGAAATATAACACAAGAGATGCAAGTCCGAACTGTATGAGCATGTGTGCTGCTGTAGTGAACAAAGGAAACTGGAAATTGAGGCGATCTTGATCAAACATCCATTTGTTATACTGATTGAAGCAGATGGGGTCAGATCCACTGTTGTAAAGGTGTTTGCCAAAAAGCGTGCAACGAGCCCGGAAGGCATCTCGAGATTGACCGTAAAGGGGGGGAAACGTACCAGAGATATACTCAGGGAACATGTATACCAGAGAGCAATTAACGCGACGTTAATGAGCGACGACCGAACCACGCTCTGGTCCGCTTCCTTCTTCTCTTCCTCGCTGATCTTCTCAGGCGCAACTCTCTGGTCCAGCAGAGTATTCCGCCTCTTCCTCCACTTCCGCCGGTCCCGTTCCCTCTTCGTGAGACCCGTCTCCTCGTCGTCGTGGAGGTCCTCGTCCGAGACGCTGCCGTCGCTAAACTCGCCCAGTCCAATTGAGTCGCCGTCTTTGCCTTCCTCGAAGATCTTGGGCTCGTCTTGCAAGGTGTTGGACTGAGACTGAGAGCGGGCACGGGTAGCTCGGAAAGGGGAGACCCCGTTGAGCAAGCTGCTCCGTCTCCGCCTGTGGCCGGCCGGAATGGAATCCATTTCGATATCCTGGGGACCTGTCGAGCTCGCCTGACCAGACGTTGCCGCTGAGGTATGGAAGTGGGTGGTGTGGTTGTTGCGGTGGTGGTTTGTCGAAGGGGACAAGGACGACGGGACGGCGGCGGTGGTTAGTGAGGAAGAGGATGTCGCGTGGCCGGATCCGCGGTCATCGGCAAGGAGTTCGTCAAGGTTCGACAGAGAAGGGAAGGGAGGAGGACTTGTGGGTGGCATGGTCTTCTTCTTAAGTTTCCTGTTCCAACCGACGAAGGTGTGGAGACAACTGAGGCAGCCGTTCGGAAGAAGGAAATAATCGACTGGGGAAGGGGGTACGAAGTTGGTTGTAGATTGACGCGAATTGCTTTTGGGCGACCCTCGTCCGGGGGCGTCTTGTGTGCAGTCTTCACGGCTTTGGGGGGGTAGGGGGCCTTGGGTAGTTCTAGCAAGAAACCATTTTCTCAGCAGACCCCTGCACCTGCACTACCTCTTCATAGGGGCCCAAAACTGGCCTCTGTCCTCTCCGGAATCACATTGATCCTCTTCCATAGTGTCATTTTGGTCTGGGCGCCGAGCTGCGGGTACAATCAAGGTACAAAGTGTTCTTCATTTGGAATGGGTGAGTTTGGCAGCTAGGAAAAAAACACACCAGAGTCTATCCGAAGTATCCGCGGGGTACCATTTTCGCAGTGCTAATGTCCCGTGGTATCCGCTTCGCGACTTTAACGCTGGAAGGGGCCTTGGCGAAGGCTATGGTTCGCCGGATTTAATTCGCTGGAGTTTAACTAACATTGGCTCAACTGTGAGATGCGGTTGCAAAGTCCCCAGCACGGGTACCCCCCTTGACCAGACAGGTACCAGCCGGTCTTGGCTTCGTGCCAGCTTCGACGTAACCCTCCACTGTCTCCAGTAGCACCATGCGCATGGTTAGAGTGCTGGACAGAGGCTCTCATGACCCACCAGACGCCATCGATCAATTGAATATCAATGTGGTCTCTGGTCAGCAGGCCTCCCGACACACTGGCGGTGAGCTAAGCGATCAGGGATTATTTTCCTTCTTTTCCCTGATCGACGGATCAATTCGACATATGGTATCAAAGGTCTGGCTGTATTTCTTGTAGCAGTTGCCTCCAACTCTCATCGTGATGCACTACTGTCTCAAGCATGGCCCGTTCCAGATCGACAGAGATCTTAGTGTGGAGGAGTTTTGAATTTCAGCTCTGAGAGGTTGCAATTGCTACCACCCATTGGTCATCGACTGTGCTCATACTTGTGAACCACCAAAAAGTAAACTCTTCCGAAGTATGGGGAGGATATGCTTCAATGTTGGCAATGATTTGCATCTGGATAGCAGTTCTTCCGTGCCGAGGATCTCAGCACTTCATGTTCACTTCCTGTCCGCACTTCATTGTTTAAATCTATGGTTTAATGTTGCCGAAGTTCTCTCCTCTCTCTCCTCTCCACGTGCTCGCTTGCGGTACCTGTGCCCACAGCGATGCCGAGGTGGTCGATCATCTTGGTCAGTACTGAGATCGATGTTTGCTGACTAACTACGTTATGTCTATTTGACGTTGATTTGAACGAGATCATTGTGACAATGATAATGTCTGTCTGAGATGAGGATGCTGCACGACTGTCGTACACATGTTAGACGAAGTAAATTATGTCCAGCTGACGAGCGAAGGGCTTTGGTCAGATCACGCTACCTTCCGATCCCAACCGTGCCATAAGGTTAAAACAACCGAGAGCAGAATAAAGACTAATGACGCTAGATCCGATCTGATGCGAAGTGCATATCCTACCCTAATGATGCGCCTGAGACGTCCTGGCCAGCCCCGCCATCCATCCAGCAGATTCCCAACCTCGTTCTCGATTAGGACCAGGCGGACTAGCCTCAATCCTCCAAATGACTTTGCTTCTTGTCCTCGAATGAGCGGTGGGCTCTTGCTCCTCGTCAAGTGGCAGAAAAACCAACTTTATAGTTGCTTTTACACGACAACGGGGTGACTCGCCGTAGAGTTGTGGGTACGGTTTCCGCTTCCTTTGTAATCTAATTGGCGACAGAATCCGTCCAGGGCATCTTTGAAAATCCCGCCCTGATTTGAGCGGGAGGAAGTTTGCTGTCTCAGGACAAGCCACCGCACCCTGTCCTCTCGCTCGAGGGTGCCTGAAACATCCCCCGATGGTCTGCACGTGAACACATTGAGGGGTTCTGTTGCTCGAAAGGGTTTGCCTTTCATGTCTTCGACACCTAATCGTCATTGGAGAGTGAATGTAGTGTAAATGTGGAGAGACACATATTAGACCTGGGTGTAGAGAAAGTAATTCTCGAAGCAGACTCTCACTTCCGGATATCGTAAATCATGCCTTGATGGACAACAGGGGTTACTGGTATTTCCGTCTGTATTAACGTTGCTACTGCTTTATTTGTACGCTTCCAAAAAAGGATATGAAAACTCCAAACGCCCATAGACTTGGATGACATCCAGCCCAGCGTTTACTTTCCTATAATTCAAAGACCAAATACTCCACGCCTGTTCCTCTCCAATGCCTTCCAAAGACCAATATCGCAACCCCAGAGACCGAAAGTGATCGATGCAACGGACTGGATTAACCCAAAAGCTTGAGACCATTTTTCATCTTCTGACCCGGCTTGTGGACTCCGGAACCGGGCTTAGGCCCAAGGTTAGGCTCGTAGCTTTGCTGGCTACCGGTGTTCTTGTAGCCCTTCTTGCCATGCTTTTTTCCCCTATCCTTCTCTTTGACGACCGACGCCTTGATCTCGGTCTTCGCCCGGGTGACAATCACAGGGTGGCTCTGGATATACTTGCCATTCATCTCCTTGGCAGCTTGGAAGTAGTCGTCGGGATCGCTGAAGCTGACGAAACCGTAGTTCTTCGACTTGGAGGTTCGCTTGTCGCGGATAACCCGAGCCTTTTGCACAGATTTCCACCGAGAAAAGGCCTTGAGGAGGGAGTCGTCCGTGACCTCGCCAGCCAGGTTACCTACGAAGAGGCGGGGGTGGCTGGGATCCCATTCCAGGAGAGTGTCGTCCGTCCATTTCTTGCCACCGCCTTCTCGCACGACCGTCTTCTTCTTGTCGGGCGCCTCGGTAGTTGTTTCGACGACTGGAGCTGCAGCTGCCGCAACGGGAATAGCGTTCGCGGACGTCGCGGCGCCAGCACCTCGTTGGGGACCCGCTGCGCCAATAGTACTATCCTTGCCCGTTGTCGCGTCCTTGCTCACGTACGCGCTCTGCCACTGCGCGTACTGCGCCGCCATCTCGGTATCATAGTCGCTTGCGCTGCCGGGGACGGGGAAAGGATTGCGGATCTGGGGCGCGCTATATGCGGCGACACCGGGGGTTGGGCCATAGCCACTGGTTTGGTAACTTGACTGAGGGTATTGATAAGCTTGCGCGTGCGCTTGCGCCTGATATGGACCAGCGCTCACCGCCGACGGCGGGTAGCTAGGGTAGGTCCGGCCATACTGCTGGGCGGACGTTCCGGGCGCGTAACTCGTAGACGACGGATAAGACGACGGCTTGCTAGAGGAACCAAACGCGGGTTTGAATCCTGTCGTGCCTTTCGGCGCCGGCGGTCGCGCGGGTAGAGACGGATGCGAGGAGACGGTCCCTGGGGGATGGCTGGATCCTGTAACACCTGGAGGTGGAGGATAGGACATGATGAATGAATGACCTCGCGATAAAACAAAACTTTATTGTTTTTCGACTTGCTTCAGCCGATGCGGCACGTACCTCTGAGCTTTTGCCTTGCTCAAAGTAAGGTCTTTGGCTCCGTCGGTATCCCCTAGAGCGGTTTCCTATCTTGTATATCCCAAGCAAGGGGACACTGTTGCTGGATGCAGAAAACAGATCAATGATGATCACAATGGAGGAAAGAGAATATTTGGGCGGTTCTGCAACTGCCTGGTGGGGAATAACTGGGCGGCAATAAGTACCAGCAACGGACAAGCCACACTCCGCGTGACTAATACACCCACATTGCCGTGGTCTACATCACGTGACATAGCTTCTAGACGTGCGAGCTGCAACAGGGGCAATTGCCAGCCTTCTGAGAATATCGTGTCGCGACTTGTTGACACGCTCATCTCCATCCTTTCGACGAGACAACATCCACAGTGATACCCATTGCCTCCTCCCACCTATTAAACCCTGGTCGACAACTGGCCCGCCCAGGTCGCAGAGCTATCCTTTACTCTTTCATCCCATCTTGTCCAATATTTTCCCTGGGTCCAGCAGGCGGCTGCACTGCAAAAATTTGCGACCATGGCAAACATGCCAAGGGACCCAAGCTCAGGGATCAATCAAGATCTCGTAAGAATCAACCTCTAACCTGCTTCTAGTGCCTTTGTCTTATTTGACTAACCCTATTAATAGCTCCCCCATGTCCACCTCATATCGACCCACCGCTATGCATTGATGCCCCGAGTCGACATCCAAGATGTTGCGAAGTGGCTCATGGACGCCCCCCGCATCGCCAAAAACCAGAGCCCCTTCCACTGGACGTATTTAGATGGACCCGTTGATGGCACGATACTTCTCACATGGCAACCACTCGCGCGACTTGGTACGAACTTTGCTAGTGATGGGTTCGTTTGGGCTTCGCCCGAGCAGTTATTCAAGCAAGATCTGGGCAATGGCCTTGTATGTTCTTTCCCCCGAACGTTGCAGTTGGAAGAGTTTGGGCGGAATAGCCGCCTTCGACTAACTTAGCCACAGGTCCTTGAGATCTACCTCCAGAAATCCGGTTTTTTGCCGGGCGAGCAGGCAGCCCTACATGCGCGGCGCAGGTTCCGCCTGGTCCCCGCCCAAGCCGGCAATCCTCATGCGCCCCAGCCCGACGTCAGTCTTTGGCTCGTCCACTACGGCCCCTCGGAACCGAACGATCGAATCCCCGTAAACATGATCCCGTTCGACGAGCGCGTCCATGCCATGATAAATACCCGACAGTATCTTAAGAAGTGTGGTCAGATCGCTCGGAAAGACTTTATGCTCTCCGACCGCGTGAACTGGCCTCAGATCGCCTTCCCCAGAGAAGGCGGCCGCCAGCAGCAAATGTACGCGTCGCCGATGAATGCCCGTGGAGTACCACAGCAGATGGCATATCCCCCCCAGGCCCCAACCGGACCCCCCGCCAAGCGAGCAAGACATGCATCTACGTCACAAGCACACCCTGCCCCGCAGCCGGTACAACCTGTGCCGCCCCCCGAGGCTGCCGTCTACGATGATGAGGAAGACACGTCGCGAGGAGATATGTTCGATCAAGTCACAGCACGAGAGATCGCTCTTAGTCGCTACCAGCAGAATCACGAGTGGATGGAGGAGATCTTGTCATCCGCCTACCGGATTGACCAGATCAGTCCTCCTGACCTGGGTCTTGGGTTCAAGGGTCAGCTTGCTTCCCTTACTGAGGGCATATTCCCTGCGCAGGGCGGCGAAGCCCTAGAAACCGCCATTGAAAGGTCCTATTCGTCTGGCCTGGATCCTAAACTTGCGGAGGAATTTCAAAAGCGGATAACCAACTTCATGGAGTCCTCCAAGGCCGAAATTGAGGCCATGAAAGCCAACCACGAGAAGGCGCTAGCCCAAATCAAGGAAAGTGCCGTCATTGTCCAGGCCGAAAAGGATCTTAGGGACACTGCGGATGCCGTTGGCGATGAGCCTTGGCGCTTGGAGGGTAGGGTTGAAGAAGAAGAAGATGAGGAATCAAGCGGATCCCTGCCGCAGAAGCCGAAGAAGAAGGTCGAAGAGATTGTCTCTGAGGTCGAGAGCCGGTTGAACCGAAAGACTCGATCCCTACGCCCCGTGTCCCGAATCCAGGACGGTGGTTACCAGCCGCCTGCCCCCGAGCCGGAGCCCCCTGCGGCAGTGCCCTCCGTTTCCGTGTCGGCAGGAGCCCCAGGGGGTTTAGCGCCTACTTCACAGCAAGTGTCGGCTGCGCCATCACAGCAGGGCGGTATGGATGACCCGGATCTTGAGATGGGTGGAACGGCAGGGGAGCTTCTTAGCCAGATGCAGCCAGGCATGTCGTCTGCGTCTACGCCGGGGGCTCACAACACCTCAGCCCTTCCATCGGCCGTAGCCACCCCTGGAGACATTGGCGCCCCGTCGCCCGCGGCTCCAGCGCCAGCACTTCCGGAACAGAAAGCGCCCCAGCCTACGGGAGGCGATACTATCATGGGAAACACAGAACCCTCTGCTCAGAACGTGCCCCCGACCGCCCCCGATCAAGGTACAGGCAGCGGCGACTGGGTCATGGTGCCGAAGGGTGGGGCCTCACCTGATGCGAATGCTCAAGCAGCGTCCGGTTCCGGATCAGCGTCTGCATCCAAGGGAACACCGGCAGCCGTTTCAGTAGCAGGATCTGTCCCCGCGAAGCAGCCGTCGGCGGTTGGCACGCCGGCGGATGGCGGTTCAACGACGTTTGAAAATGATTTTAGCTCATTGGGCGACTTAGATACTGCAGGTGATGCTTTGGCTTCCTACGAGGCGCCGACCGGTACGGATCTCGGCGATGGTCTAGACCTTAACATGGATATGGACGATTCTGCCTTTGGAGAGGCCTTCCAGGGTGTTTCCCAATCGGGGACACCGGCGGACGGTAATCCCGATGGCATCTGATCTGAAAAAGGGTTTGAAAACGAAGTTGTAGCACATTTTAACTCCAGTCTTTTTGGTCTGTGGTTACGGTTTTGGGACAGACACCTTTTTCTCCCGGTGTCTTTTTTTCTGCTTTTTTTTTCAAGTTTTCCTCTTGCTTGTCTTTTTTCCTTCAGTATGGAAGGGGGAGTAATTTAGTGTACAATTAGGTATCGATTGATGTTCGGCGCTGCGCAGGATGGCGGAGTTGGTCTGACGTAGTGAATACATCCATGTGTTCCAAGAGCACACTCACACACTCGCCTGGAAATCTGCTGCTTCTAGACGCCGTGTCCCTCCATCCCATTAGTATTTGCCGTGATTCTTCTACTTCTAGTGGCAACTTTGGAGGTTCGAAAAACACTCTCGTGTCCGGCAGCCTCCTCCCGAACCGATCATCCGAGCTAGAACACGTGAAACTGTTTCTATGCTGAGGGTGCGAAACTTTGACTTTTGGATTTCGAACTAGCGTTTAGTGTTGAAGGGGAACAAGGAAATGTCGAATTTCATGCTTCTTTCCTTTTCTAAATTCCACGCTACGACGTTCGGCTGGCTAGTTTTTCTCTCCCTCGCAGGACATGACATCACTTGAGTCGTGTTGGTACGTTGGAATGACAAGAACAGCAATCCCTTTGCACGAAATAGTGCTAGTACCGAAGAAGGCCAATAAGAAACGGAAGGGAAAATTGAGAGAAGTCCGTTGAGCTGATGGGTCGTACTGAGTTTTGGTGATACATGAGTCCGGGTATAATGTGTGTTCCTCAGGTATCTAATAATGGGATTGACAGAGTTCAAAGATTGCCCCCCGTGGATACGTGGGGGTACGGGGATTCGGATGGTACAACGATTGAACTGGTACTTCGTACAACTAGGCACCGTCCAGATACAGGATGGCAGCCATCAAGTATCCCGCGGAGAGAGAGAAGAGACGAGGAAACTCAAAGGTGTGAAGAGGGCAACATGGAGAGGAATGGCGTTCCATCGGCTGGCATTTTCTGGGACGCCCATGAAGTGAATGGTACGAAGTAGATTCAGAGTACTTTGTATTGTCTCGTCTAAATCAATGATGTCCATCTATTCCTGGCGACAAGGATATCAATAATGGGCTTAGTTCGTACTTAGTACACTTATGTACAGTTCAAACGGCAAAACCGCACAAGGTATTAATACAAGAAAACCAACAAGCGGTTCGCATGGGTGCGACTGCCGTAGAGCGATGCACCGTACTTTTCCGTGACGAGACGGGAGGAGGAACAAGGATAAGTATGGGCGAGTACGAGGTCTTCGTCGCTCGTAAAACTTTACACTGCAGAGAAGCATGGGCTATGCAAGTGAGGAAATCCCAGAGCCTTATAGCATCATTGGCCAGCCACGACGGACGCCAACCGCGAACGACCATGGCGGTGGGAGACACAAGACCGGTGCTGACTGGCCCGGACAAATCGATCCAGTCCGGCATTAGTTCCGTCTGGTTGAGGGTCAAACGAAAATTGGATACGGGACTCAACGTACAGGTAGGTACTCCGTACACTACCTTACTCGTTAACTCTACCACGTTCAGATCGACGGAGACACGACATTCCCTGTGCTTGCCGAAATACGGGAGAAGATTGGTCACCTTCTCGGTCGTCTCTCCATTCCTGCATGCCTGTTCAGTTCAACATCTCTGGCTTGCGTCGGGACCTTAGGGTAAGCCAAAGTTCGAGCGGTTCGCCGTTTCGCCGCATTCACTGTGCAAGCCTACCCCTCTTCCGATCTCCAACCGCCGCTCCTAGATTCGGTAGCTTCCTCAACCCGCATTGCCACGGCTCGTTTCTCGGAACGGTAACCGCTTCGTATAACGCCATATTCTTGGATTGTACTTCATACAGTACGAGTACGACACTTATAAATTTAGCCATCAAATCGATTGCCATTATCATTGCTTTGCGTACGGAGTAGTTCCATAGCGTGGGATGCGTCACATCCAAGTACACGTTAAATACCACGCTCCCTCGCCTCGGAAGGCAGTCAGAGACATCCAAGGCTCTCAGCCCCGCTAACGTCAGTGCAACCCCATCCAAGCGGTGCGACCGGCATGACCTGGCTTTCATCGTGGGCAGCTTCCCCTTCATATGAAGTAGCTGTACGATTTCTCCTCTGGGCATATCCCACTTTGGGTTGGGGAAACCGAAGATATTGTGTAGGAGAGGCTAAGGGCTAATAGGAATATGAACCAAAGGCCCTATCTTGTCGACCTACAGGCAAATAGTCGGTCCAGAAGACGCTAGTGTGAATCTGGTGTTGTTGTCGTCCGTCGTTTAGGGTGGTACGTGCGTCTAAGTCTTCGTTGACACTACCGACGACGAGCCGCTTCTCTCCGTGCGTCCCGATTCCTAGATTGGACCTATTGCGAAGTGCATCTTCCATGTTCCTCGTCATGGATCATGAGGGTAGAATCGCATAGTGGAAACGAAGGGTATAAATGTCAGAGTGCAGCAGATTAATGCAGCACCTAGTGTATTACTGAAAGGGCTGGGTTAAGCCTGGCGTCTCTTGGGTGGACTGTAGAGGAAACGAGGCGGGCAGCGGAAACAATGCCAACTTCAGGCCACTATTTGATAATACCTGCAAGTGTACACGATCGTGAGTGAATCATTAAGTCCAGTGTCGTGTCGACGAGGTCCCCCCAACAAACGATTTAAACACTGTCCTCTCCGCTCCGCCCCACCCGGAAGGGCACTTGGAGGGTTTCGTTAGTACTTGAAATCAAAAGAAGGTAACGGGACAAGAAGGACAGAGAGAAAAGAGGGCAGATCGATGCCTCAAAAGTTTTCGGAGAAAAAATAGCGCTGGCTGCGGATTTAAACAGCGCAAGCACCCCAGGAAAGCCATGCAACTTGTAGAGTACTCCCTTAATCCCTCGTTGTCCTATTGGGTCGTAGATTTCCGGGGACTTGTTGTTTTTTTTTTTACATGGACATGGCACACATCAAAGATGTCTCTGTTCATGTGAATGTTTAGAAACGGTGCTCTGTTTTCTTCAATAGGTTGTTGATTACGAAGTCCACCTCCGTGCTCGGGCAGCGGTTTAAAATGGTACAATTGTACAAACTGGAAGTCGCCGAACAGTCAGCATCACGCTTATAGTCATCGTTCGAAATCTCTTGCTTCTGACTGGGCTTGCCACCCCCAGAATAACGAAATAAGGCCGCGGTGAAGAGGAGCAGCAGCCGATGAATTTGACCGATCGAGACTAGAAGCAGGAGGAGCATGGTAATTCTGTTTGTTGGCCTCAGACCGCCAACATCAAATCATAATAATACTTTCGATACTTGATCGTGTGTTTTTACACCTCTTACCTGGTTCGCGTTTTCCCCTCACCACCAACCCTTCGTGATTACTTCGTCCTCGACCCGAATAGATTCGAGCTTGATTCGCGGCTGTCCCTCTACCAAGTATTAAAATCAACCTCTCGCCTCTGGTGCGCTCCTGCCCGGCCCAGTGTTCACTGACGCCCTGACGTGACGGGACCCCCACCAACATCGCAAAGGTATTGATCTATCTGACTTCGTAGCCCCTCAACCATCTTTGATTTCACATGCCCCCGTTCAAATTTCTTCAACGCTTGACTCGCACCTGCTCTCTTGACGGTGACCACTACTCCCACACTCCTCCTCCTCCTAACTTTTTCTCCCACGGTCCTACACTTAGAACAGTTCAATGTTGTACTCACGTACAACTCCACAGGCTTGAACCGCTTTGCCAGCTGCTGAGCGAGCACTAAGCCCCACGGCTTCTCCCCGAGGTTTAGTGCCAGCATCAATGACTCGATCAAAATTGACCAAGACCAAGTCGATTTAAAAGGTTTATTCACAACATCCTACCAATCTCAAAGCTCAGGTCGCTTGGAACCCCGCCTCTGCAAGTATCTCCACTCCTGCCAGGCGATAGGTAACCCTGACACTGGTCAACCCCTCCATAATCATCCCTCCATCCTCCACAGCCAGTCTCGACCGACCTCCTACGATCAAATCTCTCCTTCTCCACATCACAGTGACCACATACGCACACCAAACGGACCCAACTAATCTTCAACTGCCCCCACTAGGGCCGCTAGCTCCAGCTGGCAACGTTATTACTACACTACTTCACTACTTACCACTTGTACTCTCTCCCTCTCTCTGTTATTCTCTGTCCCTCTTCTCTCGCCACCTCCACCACCTCCACCTCGATACTTCTCCAACAATCACTACTTCGTACTTCTATACAAGTACATCCCATCTTCCTCCTCCTTCATCACAACATCGCACGCACTCTTTTGCACGCACACACACTCTCTCTCACTCAAGTCGCGCCCGCAATACACTAACCCGCGCCGATCTCGTCGACGCCCCTCACCAACCCCTCCTTCTTTACGCGGAAACGGCGATACGCTAAGAAAAATTCAATCGACTGTTTTCGATATTTGTTTCCGACATCGTCCAATCCTTCGATTCCGCCGCCTGGCGAGCAACTCTCCTGTGTCTAGCGTTGGACCAGGTCAGCCCAACCACCCAAGGACCCAAGGAACCTGGCAACTTGCGCCCCGTCATCAACATGGCGGGATCGGACGGTCAAGTTGGCGGCGCAGGCCCTGACCTGTTGAAGCGAGCTACTCAGGCTCTGATGATGTCGAAGTAAGTATCAATTTCCTTGTCGTCTCACAAACATTTTATCTTGAGTGTTTTGCCATACCTGCTCGATCTTGCGTTGCAAACGGGTGCTTGGTTGCTTGTGTGCCCACGTCCTCGTTCGTCCTACATCTTGTTCCAACTCATTTTCCCGCTCGACTGAGCTCCCTCCCCGGTTCTTGTTTAGATTTGCAAGTGCAAACTCCCTAACCCCTGTTTCGGAGCATGCTTCTTCGCTCGATGGGCGCCTTTCCGCCCTTCGAAGCAACTTCCAACCTCCCATGAAGCCAGGGAGATATCAATCAATTTGGAGTTGACCAGGGTGTGACCCGCGCCATGGGTTGCTGCTAGTGCCCTGGGTGGTCTCCCCCCCTCCTTCCCATCCCATCCACCCCTCTGAAGAGCACAAGCCAGCTCTACCAAAGAGGAAAAAAGCTTCCAGAACACTGTCAGCCAATTTAGCCAATATTTGACATTGGTTTGCGGCGTTATCGATGGTTCATCATCGTTCCCGACTCCCGGTCCCAGTTAGACTTCAGGGCTCAAGCTCTTTTCCCAACACTGCCCATACCACATCTTTTTCCTCACCTCTCTCTTTACATTCCCTTCGCAATTTTAGGCCTGGAGATTGGCATCCGCTCCAGTGCCAGAAATCCGTGCAGGTAGATGTCTAGAAATCTGGTCTTCGTCCTGGGCACCACTCTGGCATAGCGACATGGGATTGGTCCGTCCCTCTCATCCCTTTTTAAGACCGAAGTGCCAGAGTTTAGGAAGGGACCTAGACGTCACCCTAATGGCTTAGACGCTGCAAGTGCATCCTAGAGTGGCATGGCATACTACAACACCTCAGTCATAACTGACTTGCACATGCAACAAACATCCAATAATCCTTTACTGTATGGTTACTTCTGTGTGCGGCCCCTTTATTTTTAATTTTATTCACGTTTCTTCCCATAGTCATGGGCTTGACAAGTATCTTGAATGCTCTGGGAGGGCGGCATCTGTTCTAGCTAGAACAAACCAAGCCTGCAAAAGCATTCATCCAACTCTGTCCTAACTCTGTCCCTTTGTTCCTCTGTTGATGCTGGTCATAGCACATGGGTTCGAACTTCTTCAACTATCAAGTGTGGTTAGGACTCATGTACATGATGGACTCCTCAACCATCCTATCCCTTTAGAAGCATAGAAGAAGTCTTGCAGCCACAGTGCACACCTCGTGTGTAGACACTGAGATTGAGCTTAAGACTTAGCCATACTTGTACTTGCATGGTGGCATCTTCCATTCTTCCACCATCCTAGTGCCCAGTGGCCTGTCTGGTTTCTGGTTTGTACACCGGTCCTCTCCGATCAATACCCACAACCTAGTCAAGATATACTTTGCGCTATCTACCCTTGGTGCGATTGGCGGCACCCTGAGATGACTGAGACCCTCAACCCTCGGGACCCCACTCGCTCTCCCTCCTCGGCCACATGGCGAGCTGCCATCAACAACCAGGGTGCTTGTCTGGATTGAAAATTCCCTGCCTCTAAACACACTCTCTCCTTGCCTCGAAATTACTCCTCGAGTAATCAATCCCCTCTCCGCAGTGTCCTGCTATCATTGCGAGCTCGATATTATCCATAGAAGGGGGCGAGTGTTGGAATACAGTTCTGGACACCTCGAGAAGTTTCCGGATGCCCGGATATCCCGCGTTCCAGTTCCCGTCTCCCATCGCTTGGCTCTTGGCTTCCATCATGAGCCAACACTTCTGCCATCTTCTCTCATGAGCTCATCAGCTTTGTGGCAATTCAGTGTTGCGACCTTGCTTTCTCCTCAATTTCTCGTCGCGCTTCGATAATACCATCGCGGCGCCCTTGCATTTTCCACATTCTTATTCCTTGCCTTAAGATATACCCCCATTCCTTCTATCGCTCTTATTTTTCACCTCCTCTTAATACTTTTTTCTCCGGCGATAATCAGTCATCGGCATCACCATGGACAAAATTAACGAAACCAGTAGGACCGTTGCGGCGACAGACGAAGATGGTGGCGAACAACTGGGTGACGAGACCCCGCGTTCAGGCATCGCAACCCCACGACCGGACTTACACGACAAGAGATTACCAGGCATAGCCACAAATTATGGCCAGGTTGGTCCAGCCTCTTCTATCCAAGTCGTTCCGCAATCTACCATCTGTGGCAACGCCGAGTCCGTACTGCAAGCGGACGCATCGGCTGCGAGTGATTCGTGTCAATCTCAATTTGAGAGTTCTGGGCCGCAAGCCCGTTTGGCAACCGAGGCCCCTGCTCTATTGAATGACGAGAGCGGGATTTCTTCTTCCCAGTCTCAAGGAGCACCCTCTCAACCACATCCACCACCATCACCACCAACTTCACAACGGTCATCTTGCGGCCCGTTTGACTCAGGTGCCGCAGCAGATGTGGGAAGCCTTAAACCAGCTCCCTCTGCGGCGCGCCGATTCCTCGTGAGCCATACTGGCCCAGATGGTCCTACTTCACCCTCAGCACAGACATACCCTTCAAACAACGCAGCACCATTGACCAGCGTCGTGACAGCCTTGGCTGTCGCTCCTTCTTATCCCTCTCATCCTTCTCATAATGATCACGCCCGCGCCACTACCCTCCCCACCACGCAACCATCTCCTTCTACCTCGTCCCCACAACCACCCCAAACAGCACCTCCCACCCCAATCCACTCTCGCACCAGTTCCGCAAAGTCAGGTCTCCGAGCATGGTTTTCTTCTTTTGACAGCGTGAAATTGCTGACCAAAGCTTTTAAGAGCGGTCCCACGACCCCTACAAGAGCTCTTTCTGCCGCCCAACCCACCCAGGCTGATTACAAGAACGGGTCTGGCGGTCTGGACGTTAGTCGCTCACAAACGCCCAGGATATCCCCCGGCCCTCAAGCCCCCGCTGCTAAGGGCAAGTTGACGATAAAAATCACCGAAGCGCGAGGGATCAAGAAGAGCCGAGATCCGTATGTGGTAGCTGTGTTCCAGCGCAGTGAGCTTATTTCGGGAGGCCCTCGACCCGATGAAAACAACGAGGATACTCCTCCCGTCCCTGCGTTTGTGGCGATGGGTGGCCTGCCAATCCAGCGTCAGGGCAGTGACTCGGGCCGCCCCCCGATGGCCATACCGATGAGGAGCCGGCAGAGTAGCAACACGAGCGTCACCGACTACACCGCCTTCAGGAATCGGAATTCGAGAAGGTCCTTTGCGAATCCGAAGTGGGATGCCGAGGCCGTTTTGTGCGTACATCCATTCACCACCAACCCCCCCCCCCCCCCCCCAAAAAAAAAAACCTGCCGAGGAAGATGAAACGTGGATCTTTTGTCATTCCTAACAATTTGTAGTGATGTTGTTGACTCGGATCTCCTGGTCGATATCTCAGTGTACGACCATGGCACTACCGGAGAAGTGTTCCTCGGACATGTCGATTTCCAAGCCAGCCTAGACCCCGAGAAGCCTGTGAGTGGATGGTTCCAGTTGCAGGGCCATGCTGATACGGATGCCGAACATACCCCTACCGGCGAGGTGTACGTTGAAGCCAGCTACCAAAGGTCGGAGCGGAAGCACCTAGGACCCGCGGACTTCCAAATCCTGAGGCTCATCGGGCGGGGAACCTTTGGGCAGGTATACCAAGTACGGAAGAAGGATACGGAGCGCATCTACGCCATGAAGGTGTTGTCCAAGAAGGTGATAGTACAGAAGAAGGAGGTCGCTCATACGGTGGGCGAGCGAAATATTCTTGTGCGGACCGCCATGGCTGACTCTCCTTTCATCGTCGGCCTCAAATTCTCGTTCCAAACCCCTTCCGACTTGTACCTAGTTACGGATTACATGTCTGGAGGAGAGCTCTTCTGGCATCTGCAGAAAGAAGGCCGCTTTGATGAGAAGAGGGCCAAGTTCTACATTGCCGAGCTCATTCTTGCGATCCAACACCTGCACGACAACGACATCGTGTACCGGGATCTCAAACCCGAGAACATCCTGCTGGACGCCAACGGCCATATTGCGCTGTGCGATTTTGGCCTCTCCAAGGCTAACCTGACAAAGAACGACACCACAAACACGTTCTGCGGCACGACGGAATATCTCGCCCCCGAAGTCCTCCTCGACGAGTCGGGGTATACCAAGATGGTAGACTTCTGGTCCCTCGGAGTCCTAGTTTTCGAAATGTGCTGCGGTTGGAGCCCGTTCTATGCAGACGACACGCAGCAAATGTACAAGAACATCGCGTTTGGCAAGGTCAAGTTCCCACAAAGGGCCCTTTCTCAGGAAGGAAAGAACTTCGTTAAGGGACTTCTCAACCGAAACCCGCGACATCGGCTTGGTGCCATCAATGATGCGGAGGAACTCAAGAGACATCCCTTCTTCGCGGACATTGATTGGGATCTCCTTGCGAAGAAGTTGATCACGCCTCCTTTCAAGCCCAAGTTGAAGTCGGAGACCGATGTCTCGTACTTTGATCCGGAGTTCACCAATGCTCTAGATAACAGCGGATCGCTTCATGAGCGTGCTGCAGCGCTGGCGAGGGGTTTTGCTGCCTCGACTCCTTTGTCGCCATCGGTACAGGCGAACTTCCAAGGCTTCACGTATGTGGACGAGAGCGCGCTGGAGGAGAACATGAGGGATAAATACGATGACGAGGATATGAATGATGCTCATCATGACAATCGGCATGATGAGGATGATGACTGGGATAACCTGGATGACATGGATCTGCGGCGAGGAAACAGGATGAGTGGAATTATGCGGACGAACACCGCGGACGAGCACATGTTGGGGCATTTCGAAGATTAGCTACTTGCCATCGCTAGTTGACGTCCCATCAGTCTCCCATACGTCCCATCAGTCTCGCATTCCCGAATCCTCTTTCCTCTTCCTCGCGGCTATCTCTTGGTTTCTCAAATGTGCTTTTTTTTTTCTCACGACACAACACGTCCATGGTCTCTTCCTTCCGTATCACGAATCACAAGTTATTGCGGCGTTATTACTCTCTCACAAGCATTTGACCACACAGCCTCTTCGTCACTTTTCTCCCTTTCCCTTACTCCTCACCTCTTTTTCTCACCTTTTTATATTGTGACTTTTCAGCGTATCGATGGCATTTCCTTCTTCGGCACCCACCAGAAAAAAAAAGTAACCAGTACCTGAAAAATTGGCCTTTCTTTCTGCAGTCGGCCCTCGTTGTTATTGATGTTGATACGGCTTGAGTGAGGTTAACCCCTGAATTTCTCGCTTACCTCTCCTCCTTTTGAGGGTCGAGAGAAGGAAGGGGTTGTTGATGCTGATGTTTCAAGGAACCAATTTATTCCTTTTCATTTTCTTTTCTTTGTTCCAGATTCCCCTTAAAGAGACACGAAGACAGACGAAAGAAACAAAACAACATGGCATAATTGCATAAGGGGCGGCGGGCTTTGCATCGGTGAACTGAAGGCACTATTAATGTGTTACGTGTGCCTGCTCTGTTTCTTTTTATTCGCGAATAGCAAGGCGTTTATAGCCGTCCGTGTGTTCTCTTTTCTCATTGTTCCACTAACCGTCTGCTTTTTGCGTGCCTGGTGAAGGTGAAGAGGAGTGAGTTTCTCATGGGCTTCACGGTCAAGGGTTGGGCGGATTCGCAAGGGTTTTCACTGAGGTGTTGCGGAGGATCATGAAGGTTCGAAAGTGGAGGAGGTTTGGGACCTTGAGAGTGATGTATGCTTGTTTTTAGGTCCCCCAAGAAGAAAAAGAAAAAAAGGGTTAAAAAAAAACCGCTCCTGTCTTCGTGTTGGACCTCTATTTTGTGCAGTTTAAGATGCCTACCCATCCCGACTTGAAATGTTCTTTCAATTCATACTTCGTAATCGAAAGCTATAGTCGATATATGCGCTCATGATCCGGCTACTTCCGATAATCCTACCCGGCGCTTCTCCTTCCAAGCAGATGTTAAAAACCAGGCCGAAGAGAATCGAGTTGTAGGTCAAATTGAGCAGTAAGTCACGACGGAGGGCTATCCAACCGATGACGGTCAAGAAGACTTTGCATTTGACATTTCTCGAAGAGAGATCTAAGAATACACACGGATTACCGACATCTTTTAACCCCACTTCCACCTCCTCGTCATCTCCAAGGACCCTATGTTGAATCCTCTGTAAAGATGCCGATGTTCTAATCCACTCTCGCGCCTACGTCCCCGGCATCCACATCTTCCTCCAACCTCCTTCGTTCACACCAACCCACCATTCCCTTTCGCCCTATTCATAAATCGAAAGTCGGTTTAGTGAGCAGCCTCCTCCTCAACCTCCTCGGTCTCCAGCCAGTCCTCAACAACGGGGGCGGCACCGGACTCGGCGGCGGCGGCATCGGCACCCTCGACATCGACGGCCATGTCCTCGTACTCCTTGAGGCTGCTGGCGAGGTCGGCCTCCTCGGGGGAGATGGGGGTCTTGGGGAGGTTGAAGACCTGGACGTGGCCTTCGGCGTCGGATTCCTTGACGACGGGGGTCTTGTAGGCCTTGAGCTCGCGGAGGTAGAGCTCCTGGACGAAGTCGGCTGTTGTTTTTGTTGGTTAGCTTCGTTGGAGAAGGGAATTGATACGGAAGAGAAGCAGTTGCGATTCGAGTTCGGGGGTTTTCGAGTTGTGTTGTGGTGTGGGTGGGATGGGAGTGTCGAGGTGGAAGGAGTGGATTTGAGGGATAAAAGCGGAGACCCGGCCGTGATGATGTCGTGAATTGGACTGCCCGAGGTATACAATGTTGAAGAAACAGAAGTTCAATCGATCCCTACTCACCCCTTCGCACCGCGGTGGGCGCAATGAACATCCTCGCCTGCGTGGCAGTGGCGTATCCCCTAGTCACCCTCGACAAGGTCGAGACGGCCGACCGAGCACCCTAATTTTCAAGAAAGCGTCAGCCCATGCATCGCTCCGCCATCAATTGTTTCAATTCTCGCGCAGTAAATCGTCCTCGAAAAATCCCCCTCGTTAATTCGATTCGGTCGCGGGCGCCTTTCGTCGTGATCAATTGATCATGGGTTGTTCGTTCGTGTTGCAGCTCCGCTCGTCGGCCGAGGATAGTGTCTCCAACGAAAAAAAATCGCCCATTCCTCCGAGGTGGTGGGTTTTTTTACCCTCCAATGCCGAGAACCATTTCCTTCACTCGCGAAAACTAGGGGAACAGGGGATTGATACGTACGGCGGATCGCACAATCTGATGAAGCATCTTTGGAGACTTCTTGAGAAAATCGGGGGGGGGGGGGGTTCGATTGAGAGGGAGAGAGAGGTGGGTGAGGAGAGTCTTCTCGGCGGTGTTTTGCGGCTTTGGCTGTTTTTGGAGGCAAGAGATTCGGATTTGACGGTTTGCCAGGTTGGCTGGGCCTGGCCGAATCAAATCGTGTTTTGGCCTGAGGCAATAACCGAGCTATTTTGGGGGATGCGGTCACGTGGTTTCGCATCGAGTTTCAGCCCAGAAGTCACCTGGAGCTATCAACACTGAACGAGAAGGTCTGTGAAGCCTTCCCAGCTTCTCGTCAGTGGCAGATTTAAGACATAGATCAATTGATGTTTATTTCCCCTTCTCGAAGTTGACGCTTAAGAAATGAGATAGGGCATATAAGAGGCTCACCACGGCACAACAATAGCAATATATATCTTAAAGAAATGACAAATTCCCTTTTGGAGCTTCGGAAACATGGACGCCTGCCTTGTAACGATTCTATCATCTGGACATGAAGTAGAGAATAAATCCACCATCGGTGGACAACCTTTCGATTCAACCTGCAGCTCCCCCCCCATTTCCCTCGCGGAAGACTAAAAAGACTAAAACCATTACTTGTCCAGCTTCTTAGCCGTCTCCTTGTACTTCTGGAGCTGATCCCAAAGTCGGCTTTCCTGGTCCTTGCTCATACCAGGAGGGCACATAGCCGTCATGTTAGGCTTGGGAGCGAGGGGATCGGGAAAATCAGCTTCAGGGTCAGATTAAAGAAAATAAAATGTTAGCCTGTAGGTTAGAGACTCTCATCTGTGAATCTATGAATAGATGGAGTTGGTTGGAAGTTGGTTGAGGGAGGGAGAGAGATGGAACTTACACATCTTCCAGTTCTGGTCGACAATGAGATAGCGTGGTCCATGTTTGTCGTCCAGGCTGCCATCCTTTTCTAGGGCGCCCTTGTCGATGGGTATGCGGATCTGTCGACGACGGTCTGCCATAGTCTCTCTTCTTTACTGTTTTCCCCTTCCTTGTATTCGTTTGGACTGTTTTGCTTCTGGAGAGATGGCGAGTGTCTCGTTGTGTTGGGAGATTGGACACTCGTGGATCTTGGCCTCTTCTGCAATGATGACAAGTGCTCAGCCTTGACTGAATTAAACGTTGGTCGAGATCGAGATGGGTTGTTTATCAGAGGGGGATGCGGGGCTGGATAGGGCCAAGTTGCCTGAGTTATCTGGTGGTTGTAGTGCACCTCTTGACCACTTCCTACCCGCTGTTTAGTGCCGTGTTTAGTGCCGTTCCCTGCCATTCCCTGCCCCTCCCAACCACTGAACTCAATTTGATGTCAATGATGGAGGAGCATTTGATCAAATCAATCAATTGAACAAACAAAATGCAGCGACCCCACCAAAAACTATTGATGTGAATTGCTCTCCAGCTCCGGCCGATTGGAAAGACACATTTTCCATCCACGAACATCTCACCACCAGAGCACTTTATGGACTTCATTATATAGATATCCAATTGTCTTCTTCTCCCTCCCCCTCATCCCGTCTCTTCCCCAACGAATCCATCACACCCTCCCGCATCTATCAGTTCATCTTAACCCCATGTCAAAGAAAGCCAAGCACGTCCCCAACGCCTGGGACGATGAGGACTGGGAGGTCCTCGCCGATCGCGCCGAGAAGGAAGCTGCCAAAGAAGCAGCCCAAGAACCACCCGTCCGATTAAGCAAATCCGAGCGTCTCGCTCTTCACCACGAGTCCAATCGTAAACTATGGGAATCAGCGTACAGTCAACTCTCTTCCTCTTCCTCTTCCTCTTTTTTTTTTCCCCTTCCCTTTCATTTATTTCCTGTTTTTTTAAAACCCCTCCTTCCATACACCCACAACATGCACACAATCTAACTGGTTTATCCCATTCCTCGCCCCTCCTCCAGTGAATCCCCCGAACCATTTCACTTTCTTGAGGCCTCCTCAAACGTCCCGCTCGCTACAGCCTACAAGACCCAAGTAAAAGTCCTCTCACGGAAACCAGTCATCGCTAAGCGTGACCCCTCCGGCGCCAACGCGAATGGGTCCCTCGGCGATGATGACGGCGAGGAGGACAAGGAAGAGGAGAAGGAGGACAAGGTGGCGGCCGAGGCGCGCATAGCGCTAGAAAAGTCCATTCTCGAGGAGAAGCAGAGGGCGTACGATGAGGCGCGGAGGCGCATATTCGGCGAGGAAGCCGGGTCGGAGGAGCAGAAGCAGGCGGCGGCAAGGTCTGATGGTAACAGTGGTTCACCTAGAGGGTTGGGCAGGGGTAGGGGGAGGGGAAGGGGTGGTAGGGGCAGGGGCTTCTCGGGAGTTGCGACGGGGACGGGGAGGAATAGTGGCGACTCGAGGGGCGGCTCACCGGCGAGGCCGGCGCAATCTGGAAATCGGGAGTTGTACGACCCGGGTTACACCCCAAAGTCAGGGGGTGTATTACTCCAGAGACCAGACGGGGGGCAGCAAGTAAAACAGGGTGGCGCGCGAGACTATAACCAAATCGCAGCAGTAAGAGAGCCGAGGGGACCGGACGGATCCGGAAGAGGGGGCTTTGGATTTGCGCGGAGAGGCGCGCGGGGCTCCTGATATGAAACCTCTCTGTCTATATATATATATATATATATATGTGCTAATGCTCTCAGAGTCCATCTAACGCTGCCAGGAATGCATGCAGTGAAGAAAAAGAAATTATAAATGTCCCAAAGAAGAAGAGCATCCGGTTACCACCCGCCACCTATCTTCCCCGCCAACTGGGCAGCCCGCTCGATCTGGGTCTTGGTCTTGCCAACGTCGCTAACCACCTCACGGAAGCTTGTGAGGGCAAGTCTATCAATGTCTATCCCCGTTACGCCCGACCAATATTCCAGGGTATCTTTAATGTACGGCGACGAAATACCGCCAACCTTGTCATCAGAACCTCTTTCCTCCACTTGACTAGCTGTCCCGTTAGGACCGCCTGCTACATCCGCCTCCACACCCTCATTCCCTGAGAAGTACGCCTCGTCGATGAGGGCCAACCACTCTTTCTGCTCGTGCGGGCCGGGTTTCGTTGGTGTCTCTTGCCCCGCCCGCTCTATTATTACCGGGTCATCCACTTTGATCTGACCACCACCATTCGTACAGCCGCCCGGACATGCCATCACCTCGACATAGGAGTAATCGAGAGTTCCAGGCTTACCAGTTGGTCTCCTGGCGCTGCCGAAAGGCTTCCCTCCAGGCATCCTAGAAGGCTTCGCTGGCTTGAGTTTGCGCACGAGGTTCTGGATGTTCCGGAACCCGTAGAATCTGGCAGCTTTGAAGATTACTTCCCCAGTGGGGGAGACAACAGTGTATTCCATGACGTCGGCATTCCTACCTCTCGCCCCTTGTATTTGGGAGCCGGGATTCTTGGAGGCTACTGTCTCTAGAATGAAGTGTAGGTAGCCGCCCGAGGTGCTTGCTTCTCGCGGCGATCGGTAAGGGTGATGGGAGGGAAAGAGGAATCTTTCGAGCGTCGCATCTGGGAAAGGAGTTCTAGGAGCGCCAGCGGCTTTGCCCCCAGCCAAATCGAAGAAGCTCAAGCCCCTCGATTCGGCTAGCATGAGAACCTCTTTACTCGTGATGACGCAATCGACATCCCTCACGCTATAGCTCGGACACCCTTCTCCCCATACCCTGTCTGTCAGCTCTTCCCTGCTAGCCTCGAGCTTCTTGTCGAAGCAGGGCATGACGGCAAGATGCCATATCCTGCTAGGCGACACGCCCAACTTCTTGCTAAGGGTCGACTTGAGGACAGTTCCCATGAGAGCCTGGGGAGACTTGACCTTCGACAAGTAGGGCAAGACGTATGGGTGGGTCTTCTCGGCGTAGCATACCCACCCGGGGCAGGCCGAGGCGAGAACCGGTTTCGACGACGTTCCTGAGGATTCGGCCGCCGCGAGCGCCTCCTCGGCGCTGAGCACGAGGCAGGCCTCCCGAGCGACGTTTGTGTCCACGACCCACGTGAAGGAGTTGCCCCACTTCCCACCCCGTGCTAGCTCTTCGGTGAGAAGCCTCTCCAGCATCCTTCCAGCCGTCTCCTCGCTCACGCCCTTCCCGCACGCGGCAGCCAAGTTGGCGCGAACCTGCGGCGCCACGCTAGCGACAAATATCCTTGCCCCCTCATCTTCCAAACCCAGCACGTGCGCTGCGCCCGCGCCGTCGATCTTTAGCGCGGGAGCCGCATCGAGCGTGTTGAGGACCTCGGAGTGGCTCTGCAGGCTGATGAGGACGGCTTCGGCAGATGTGACGCATCCAGAGCACGCGAGACAGTCTGTCAGGGAGATCTGGGCGGGGCCGGAGGCGGAGCCCTTTGGGCGCGAGGCGCCGTCAAGGATGACTTCGTGTTCGAGGGAAGGGTTCTCTGGTTCGGCGGGGAGGGTCTCGATGGGTTTTATGCATGCGACGGAGGGGGCGATGAAGTCGTTTAGAGTGTCGGCGGAGAGGATGGCACTCATGGCGCCGGGAGGGGGCGAGAGGCCGTGAGCACAAGCTCTTTTTGCTGGGTTAGACTATCGCCTTTGGGGGCGTTGCGATTGGGAGCCGGCTCTAAGCCTAGGTGCGAGGATAATCTGCGTGATTGGTGATTAATATGGGAAGACACAGAATATAAGTTGATCGTAGTTCGAGTAAAATAATCTGATGATGGCCTGCTCGAGAATATTGAAAAGAGCGCGCCTATTCTATTGAGGCAGGAATATATATTTTGATGTCGAGAGAAGCACTCGAGGTCAACAGTGACTCCATTTGAGGTGGCGTGGGAAGTCGGCCCCCCACTAAAAACCCAGTTATTTGTAAAGTTTAGCGGCTTATCGCCTATCGATAAGAAAACCCCAGTCCCAAGAAGTTCACGATTACAAATGGAAGCTGCTCTTTGGCACTGCGACATCGGCTTTCCATTAAACCCCCTGTAAGCCTACAGTTTGCACAAACAGAGAGTAATATGCGCTAAACCGAGCTCGGTATTGGACCTCAGTACGAAGTAGATGACATCAGGATGAGTGGCGCGCAGAGCTGGTTGTATCGCTGATCTCATGGAAGCTTCCCATCGTCTTTGGAGGAAAGCCAACTCCGATCACACACACATGTGTTGATATCTTCGATGACTGTTCATAAGGAAATATAAACTCAACTTGTGCTATAGCTGCACCACATCTCGGAATTCGAAACTGAACAGCCCGCTCATCAGCATCCTAAGTAATCAGGTGGCAATGGATGTAAGTCGTCGTGCGCTCGACTCAGCTTTCGAACTTGTGGTTAACCTAGTGTTCCCATTGCTGTAGTCCGTCACTGCCTACTGCTACGGCACGTTTGGGTGGCTAGGAATTCAAGCCATTCCATTGATTCTCTGGCCCTCCTTCATTAGCTCGCTACTAAGAACTGACTTCCACCAGCCTTCCCGTGAGGAGCATCCTGACTCGGCGCTTCGTGAACTTCAACTTAGCTAATGTTGCTCTGTATAGCTCTCGAGGACTACTATGCTCGATCTCTTGGCTTTGCCCTTATCACCCTCGGCCTTGGGACAATCGTCCTGAGCGGCGCGATACCATTAACCTCCCTCCCGATCCCGCTTGGTTGAGTGCTAGCACCCTCTCTATCCACCGTCATACTGCGCGGTCCGGACTGGAAACTAATATATTAAACTCCTTAGCTGATACTGAGGTCGTGAGCCCCTACGCAAACGCCATCCTTCTCATTACCACTCTCCACCACTTTTCTACCAGCTTCTACGCCTATACGCGCTACATGAACACATCCCAGATAGCCTACGTACTCGCCTCCCTCGGCAGTGGTATGCTAGCCGTATTTGGCCTCTTCTCTCTGCTTTTCGCTGGGGACAATACGCGCAGGAGCAAAAAGTATGGCTTCGACAAGGACACGAGCTCTTTCCCGTTTACGAACAAGGAGTCGTACAGGAACAAGAAGAAACAGGTCAAGGGTAATTAGAATGAAGTGTTCGTATCACGACAGGATGTACTGCCAGGATATTAAATGGGAAGGGAAAGAGTTATATAAAATGGAGACGGTTGTATGAGAATGCTTTTGGCTTTTCCATTACTGGGATACTCGCGGGGACTGAAATGACAACGCCCCTAATCCGTTTAACAACACCTCGCGTATAATACACAACCCATGCTTTACAGGTGACACTCGAGAAAATAGAAGAAAGAAAGCAGGAACAGGCGGGGGGGAAACAAGAACTGCAACCAAACGCCATGAAAAAAACAAGACCGCGTACCCATATAGCCAGTTCCCCGGGATCATAGATTAGCAGCCGCCGCTGTAACACAACACGAAGCAACCCTGAAAGCGAAGTCTACTCCTCAACGGCGATGGCTGTCGCATCACCGTTGGTAACTCCATTGACATGAGACTCGTCAGGATCCTCCTCGTGTCCGCCAGCCAGCTTGATATTAACAGCTCCGGACTTGATCGCTTCGCGTCGTTCATGCCAGTCCATCTCACCCTGTAGAACCTGGGAGATGAGCAATTCCTTCTCCCTCCACATCCTCCTATACTCCTCCTCTTCCTTCTTGATATCCGTCGCGAGCCGCTCACTCTCCTCGTCGGCAAGCTTGACCTGATACCTGCATCTCGCGTGCAGCTCCTTCAGCGGATAGCCGAGCTCCTTTTCTGTGAAAAGATCCTCGTGCAGAGGTGTAAACTGCTCCTTTTCGCTATCATTGCCATCAGCCCCGTCGTCAACTGAATCGTCCTGGCCTGTGGCATGCGACTGGGGAGTCTTGATGATAATCTTGAGCTTAGAGGATTTGCCACCGCTTCCTCCATGCTGTGATTTGGGGATTGGGTCGGATGGTCGCAGGGCTTCGGTCTCGTGGACAGTGCGCATGTGCTTGGCAAGCGCATCCGACCTGGTAAATGCTCGGTCGCATTCTGGATGGTTCGTCAAAGTTAGCGAACCGGCGGATAGGCGACATGGAGAGTAGAGGATGAAAATAGGGGCAAAGAAAAGATCCTACCAGGAAGGTAGCAGTAGAAGGGCTTCTCTCGGGTATGACTCCGCATATGTGCCTTTAACGCATAGCCGCTAGCATGCGCCATGCTCTTTCGCGAACAGCCGATCCACTCGCACGTATACTTCTTTTGTCGACTCTCAATGTGTTCATTATGGATATGTTCAACAAGGTTGTCCATGTTTCCCAGGTCCCCAGCATCGCATCCATCCCAAGCGCAAGCCGACACCTGCTCCTGGAAGTCTTCCTCCTCGTATCGGGCGTTTGTCGGCGAGCTAGGCACGTCGCCATCCGTATCCTCGGATACGTCCGACATCCCATCCAGTTCGGGAGCGGTATCGATTTCGGGGGCGGCGACAGCGGTTGGCGTGGCTGCTCCCTCGGTAAACTTTTGGCGTTTCGAAGGGCGAGATTCGGTCTCTTCAGCTTCATCACCAGCCTCGTCGTCTGAAGGCTCCGATGATGCTGCTACAGATGATAGAGGGGAATCTGGGGTTTCATCGCCACGGGGCGATGATTTTCTGCCTAGCGATCTCTTAGGCGCCGCCATTGTTGGAGAATAAAGGGAAGATGGGGCGTTTCTAGGATGGAATGCTGGGTTCGCTTTCGTTCGTTTTATATTACTGTTGCGAAAGGGATCAAAAAGGAATCGGATTCCGTATCTAGAGGTCGTTCTTGGAAGAGGATTGATGGATATTTGATTTATTTTTATTCTCTGTTGCGTATGTGTACGGTTGCAGGTGCAATGCTGGAGTATCCAAAGATGTTGTAAAATTCGAGCCAGCTCAACAACTGGCTCTGAATCGGATCACTAGAACCTGGCCCAGAAGTCGACGCGATTTCGCACGAGCCACGCCTCAAGCAATTAGAGGAGGGAAGGAGTCTATACTAAGTCACGTGGCCGTTTATGGAAGGGAGAACTCTCGATTCGATGTCTCGGTGACATCCGGATATTTTTGCAGACCGTTGCGTGATGTCTGGTTTGCGCCACAGCACCGTGTTCAAGCCACATAAAAAGTATTTAAGAGGCAAGACTGTGGCTCAGTGAGAAAAAGCAAATCGAAAAAGACGCTTCACGCCAGGCACGCTCAGAAAATAACCCCGCCTGTTTGGCTTTCAGATTTGTTTACCATCGCAGCCCCGCCAACCCACCTTTTCCTCCTCCAGACAACTTTGAAATTCGATCGCATTCCGATTTCCACCCTTACCCCTTACTCGCCTACTATTTCTCAACTTTTCTGCAAATTCCACCATTCTCTACGACGAGATCGTCCTCTTGAATAATACTCTTTTCCAGTAACAAAATCGCCACAACATGGCTCCTTCAGAGAAGAAGGTATTCACCCTAGAGGGAAAGGGGTTGAAGCTTGATACCGCGGAAGACCTTGACGCCCATATCAAGGAGCTGCGCGAGATGGAGGATGTCGAGGAAGTCAGGATCTTGGGAAATACTCTGGGTATCGGAGCCTGCAAACTTCTCGGTGAGGTCTTGTCTACGAAAAAGAACCTGAAGGTATGTCTAGTCTCTCTGTTTGCCACCGCGCATCGCAATTCTTTTATGCCACTTTCTCTAACCATCGTTTTCGTGCTTGTTTAGATCGCAAACTTTGCCGATATCTTCACGGGCCGTCTCCTGAACGAAATCCCCGAAGCGCTATCCAGCCTCCTCACATCCATCCTCAACCACCCCAATCTGCATACCATCGACCTTAGCGATAATGCCTTCGGCATCAACACCCACGCGCCTCTCGTCGCTTTCCTCGCCGCGCACGTTCCTCTCCAACATCTCTACCTCAATAACAACGGCCTGGGTCCTCACTGCGGTATCCTTATTGCCGATTCACTGTCTGAGCTCCACAAGAAGAAGGAGGAGGCCAGGAAGGCTGGCCAGGAGGTCCCCGATCTCGAAACTGTCATCTGCGGCCGCAACCGTCTCGAGAATGGGTCTATGACTGCCTGGGCTAAGGCCTTCAGCCTACATAATAAGGTAAAGTTGGTTAAGATGGTGCAGAACGGCATCCGACCGGAAGGCATATCCCACCTTCTCTCGGAAGGTCTCAACAAGGCCGCCGAACTCGAAGTCCTCAACCTTCAAGACAACACTTTCACACTCAGCGGCGCCAAGGCACTCGCCAAGGCAATCCCCGGATGGGTGGAGCTGAAGGAGCTCGGTGTCGGCGACTGCCTTCTCACCGGCAAGGGCGGTATTTTGTTAAGCAAGGCGCTTGCCAAGGGACAGAACAAGAAGCTGGAGACTCTACGTCTCCAGTACAACGATATTACCACGCACGGCGTTAAGAGCCTCTCTGAGGCCGCCGATGAATTCCTACCTGCCCTCAAGAGGCTCGAACTTAACGGAAATAAATTCGCCGAGGAGGATCCCGCTATTATTCTACTGAGGGAGCTTCTCGATGATCGCAAGGAGAAGTTTGGTGGAGATATTATTCTAGAGGATGACTGGGGTCTAGACGAGCTCGACGAGCTTGATGACGAGTCCGAGGAAGAGGAGGAGGAGGAGGAGGAGGAGGAAGTCGAGCCGGAGGAGCTTGCCGAGAAGCTCATCAAGGAGGCCGAGGAGGCGCAGGAAGAACCGACGGTGCAAGTCAAGGACAAGGAGGTAGACAAGCTTGCGGAGAAGTTGGAGAAGACTTCCATCTAAGCGTGGTGTTTTGGGTTCGATTCATGCATATCACGGAGAACTGGGTAGTCTACACATATATACATTAGATCAATTGATGTGGAATGAAGTACGAAGTAAACAGTTGATGACATGATGCGCCAGCGAATGCGCCAGTTAAGATGGCTCGAACCAGAAGAGATTGGCGTACAGTGGTCATGTCGGCTTCTGTCACTGACGTCACAGAGCAGGTCATGACTTGGCTGGTGAGGATACAGGGGTTGTCCCGTATAACCCACCAAAAATTCTACGCCTAACAATTTCTTCTGGCTTCCATAGTAATCGCTCATGCGCTACTCGTAAGGTCGCAATGGGCACTTGATTTATCGTATCCGGATGTGGTTCTGCTGCGCCGAGGCATGCAGGCTTCAATGCACGGGGTGTGCTACCGGCGGCTCCGGACAGTGGGAACAGGCGCCTTCCGTGTCCCGCATCGCCCTATCAGGCAAGACATCACACCATATGATGCTGAGCTCGATCATGACGCAGCTTCGATCATCAACATCACCTGCCACCTCCATCACCTTTGTTGAAGCAAGGAATGACATACAAATACCACCCATCCTCTCTCTCGAGATGGAGGAATTATTTTCTAGCTCATCCATAGAAACAAATATCAATTGAAACACTTCAAACCTCGAAAGAAAACATTCTGAAGACAATACACATCTTCACTTACACAAACCTCAATTATACGAACCAATACCAACACCGAACAACCTGCCACAACCATGGGGTTAGTATTATTCGAAACCAGCGAATCCGTGATAGAATTGCTGTGGGACATTGCCCTAGCATTCTTCATCCTACGGATAGCATTCATCTATTTCCTCCTCACCTTTACCAGCGGCGCCCTCCTTACCTATTTCTTCGCCGACCGCTTCCTCCCCGCGACCCTCTTCTACATCTCGATGGAACAGTCGGAGCTTCTCGTCCTGGGCCTACACCTCCTACTCATGACCGTCTGGGTGCGGTTCTGCATTGTTTACTTCGAAGTCCCGCGTGTGAAGGGGTTCAGGCTGGCCATCGGGCTTGTCGCGGGTGTCTTCATGTTCCTTGCGGAAACCCTTCTGGGCTTCGCGCTCTACAAGTATGGCCACGGAGGATGGATCTTGGAGTCGGAGTCGGAGGCTAGGTGGGCTTGGGCCACGTCACTGGCCGTTTTCTCATTGCTACCGGTGATGATGACGGCAGTGGAAAGGGTGCCGACAGATGAATGCGATAAGTGCCACGCCGCGACGTCTCACGGACACGAGAAGAAGAGTGTGACGGCTGCAGTGTAAGTCGTTTTTACCACCCATGTCTATTTAGGGTTACGACAGGAGGCTGACTGATTGGATTAGACCAATAGTGGCACGGTCGGAAAAGGCGAAAGCGCCAGCGAAGACGACGGAGAAGACGGCAGTGACGGCGAAGAACTGAAGGAGACTTGGTTGAAAGCTTGAAGTTGAAGCTTCGGCGGTAAGGGGAGGACCGGGTAACGTGTAAAACTGCGATTGGGGATGTTGGATGGAGTCTAGCATTGGAGGGCGTCCGGCGTTACCGGTGACGGGTCCTGTCTTGAACCCCCTGCACGTCTGCAGGATACATCTTTGAAGCATGGATTTTCTGAAGCACGGAAGTTGAAATCTCGGGCTAAGTTGATACGAAGAGCACTGTTAGGGAGGGCAGGGGCATGCATGCGGATGGATATGTCGTGTAACTATATGTATGAATGAATGATTGTATCCCATTTGCGCCTTGACACTACCTTTCTGGGCATTGAACCTTGTTGCACATTCCCAAGCTTCTATCATGTCTCTATATTCCAAAGGAGTTTGACTGTTGTATTTTAGGGCAAGGGGAGAGGATCGATCATGTAAACTTATATATTCGTGACCCTTTCGAACCGTCATGTGTTGGCGCTTCTGGTAAGCTCACCTTCTCGGTATACAATTGAAGCGAGATGCGAAGGTAAGAGGATTCATCGCACCTGCCGCAGGCAGTTGAGAAATCTCTCGGCAGAACACGTGAAAATCTTCAGTGTGCTTTACATGAGTCGCCATTTCCAAAAAAGTCGTTGCATGTTGTGTATACAAGAGGCGTTGGCTAAATTTCGACCGAGATGAAATCTGCATCGCTCTGGCCTCTTGCATCGGGTCGACCTCGCTTCGTGGTTTCTTTCTGCAGTCTTGGAATGTATCTCCGTACTTGACTTGTACAATCCCGAATAATGGAATCCACCTTCCATCCATCAGTTTTTTTCATGATTAATATTGTCGGGTAGGAAGGCACGTTGGACTTTTGTTTATCAGGCTCTAATTGATGACACTCGACTTGAGACTCACTCGACATCTACAGTTCTGCTCTCCGAATCGGTACATCGCCGACTTCTAATCTCATGTCCGGTACTAAAATGGAGCGAGCAGGCAAGGCTGCAGACTTACAGATTCGCAATTCCCGGAGCTGGTCCTGGTTAAGGAGACTGTCCTGCCATACCCATCATCACACCAACTCTTCTCTTGCCTCTCCTCTCACCGCCTGCCCAGAATGCGCCTCTGGTAATTATACCATGGATTTTTCTGGTACATCGTTGGGTAGAGCTGACAATGCAACTGCGCTGCTTGAACTACCGAGTCTAGGTGGTGAACCAGAAAACGAAGCAGAAGAGTCCGCTACGAAATCCGGTATCATGAACGGCTCCCCGGGAAGCCAAGTCGACACTTGCTCGGAAGAGACCCGCACTTACTGAGGTACAGCAATTTGAACGACGGCCAGAGTTTTCCTTCATCTCAAGGTCTCAAGAGGGGCAAATATTATCATGATGGTAATATAATTCAACGCTCTCTACACGCTTGCCCGTTTATATTGCCACTTAATATCTGTCAATACATCCGGCCGGATTATTCTTCACGCCCACAATAATCTTTATTATTAGTATTATTTACCGCTGACTTTTCTTTTCCTCTCTTCATCCGAATCTATTATAATCTAGTGCGCTCATCTTAGTCGAAAAAAAGTGTCGCCTCGCGTGTCCCATTTTTATTCCAAGATATCGCTCACGAAGCCGTTCCCAACACTTGACCAGGACTTCAAGTACAACGGCATGAGCATGACTCGTGCTGGACGATGTTCGCCCCCTCAGTCTCATCGATTACCGTCACTTGATGCCTTCCACCGTGAGATTCTTAAAAGGCCTGCTAATCTAATATTTGCAATATGGATTCCGTCTTGCCGATGTTATGTCGGGAGGGGCTGCATTTGAATGGGTCCTCTTGGCTCGAGGTGCCATGCCGCCTCGGGCTTTATTCCGGTTCCTTGGCCACCCAGATATGTCCTGTACTTTGCAAGTGCCTGGCCTCAATGGAATGTTCTACCGAATTGGAAAAGACGTGTGCCTGCTTTTGAGCCAGATATAGCCAAATGCCGGAAAGAGTGGGGTACGCTCGACTCGACCTCGTAGGTGTAAGTTTGAACACAGATCTACGTTTGTTTACAGAAACGCAGGAACACGCCCCCTTGTATGGGTTCCTACGAATTTGGCTAAAGACATACTAATTGGCTCTGCGTACGTTGAGGCTTCAAATTTATCTATCTTCTCACGAGCTTTCCACAAACGGTAGACACCGAGTAGCTTGTCTAATTCCATATCTTGTCTCCACCCCGGCCTGCCGCTCTTTGGTCTTAAGTATGCTGTCCTACCTCTCTATGGCATCCCTCTCTCATTCCCCCTTCATCAAGTGGGAACTGGGTTCGTGAGAGTGGCACTTCATGATAGTTCTCTTCTTTCATGGGTGTGGATGGTGCCCATTTCCCTTATGTCTCCATTCATTTTTATTCCTTTTCCTACTTTGACATTGTTCATCCGTTCCCGACTTTCTTTAAACAACTTGGAGCCGGACGTCGGTTGGTGAGCTGGACTACCAACACTATACATTCCCTCATTCCCTCGAGAACCATCAACCACGTCGACTCAACTCGTTGCCAACAAAGGATCTTTGAAGTTCCAGGTCTCAATCCGAGTGACGGATATATATATATATACACATATACGCCAAGAAACCTACGAAGCCTATCTCTCGTACTTGGCAACTCATCATGAAGGCTTCGTGGGCATCGGCCGCCTTTCTACTGGCGTGCGGTGTTTGCGCGACGCCGGGTCCCTCCATAGGCACCGACGATTCCCATAACTCTACGACTGGGCCATTAGCGCCGCGGGATGATGGAATATTCAAAACGGCCTCGAATGCTGTTACCGGCACCTTCAAGAATGCGCTGTATTTTACCAACTGGTGGGGATGACACCTGCTTTTGCCATATTCTCAGCTCTCTGTTAACCTTGAACTCCAATAGGGGTATATACGGAGCCAACTTCCAGCCTCAGGATATTCCTGCTGGTGAAATTACCCATGTGCTCTACGCCTTCGCAGATATTGCATCGGATGGTACGGTGTAAGTACTATAGGAACAGTGGAATCACATGAGAAATTAGTATAGGCGAATCTAAACATGGCTAACGGGACTTTCTAGAATATCTTCAGATCCATGGGCCGACACGGACAAGCGCTACGACACGGACTCATGGGGGGATGTTGGAAACAATGTTTACGGCTGCGTTAAGCAACTCTTCTTACACAAGAAGAAGCACCGCAATCTCAAGGTACTTCTCTCAATCGGAGGATGGACCTACTCGCCAAAGTTTGCGCCGATTGCCGCGACCGAGGAGGGACGACGGAAATTCGCCTCTAGTGCAGTCAAGCTCGTTGCTGACTGGGGTTTCGATGGTCTTGATATTGATTGGGAATATCCCCAAAATGCAGCCGAGGCGCAGAACCTAGTCGATCTTTTAAGGACCTGCCGTGAGCTCCTTGATGCGTATGCTGCCGAGCATGCCCCCGGATATCACTTCACCATGACCGTAGCCAGCCCCGCCGGTGCCCAGAACTATAATACTATGCTTCTCGAAGCGATGGATCCGCTTCTTGACGCTTGGCATTTAATGGCCTACGACTATGCCGGGGCGTGGGACTCAACTACGGGACACCAAGCTAACATATACCCCGACCCGAGCAATGCCGCTGCTACCAAGTTCAACACTGAGACTGCGGTCAACGCCTATCTCCAACGCGGAATTGATCCCGGCAAGCTTGTAATGGGCGTACCGCTCTACGGTCGCTCGTTTATGAACACGCAAGGCATGGGTCTACCCTACAGTGGAATTGGAGCTGGATCCATCGAGGATGGCATCTGGCTTTACAAGGACTTACCACGCCCTGGAGCCCAGGAAGTTTGGGACAACGTTGTTGAAGCCTCTTACAGCTATGATCCGGCTAGCCAGGAGCTTATAACTTACGACACCGTAACGAGCACCACGCGGAAAGCGGAATGGCTGATCGACCGCGGCCTCGGGGGAGCTGTTTTCTGGGAAGCCAGCGGTGACCGAAAGGGAGCGGGCAGCTTGATTACGACCTTGGCTAACACAATGATTAGCCTTGACGGGAGTCAGAATCTCTTGTCTTACCCTATAAGCGTTTATGACAACATCAGGAATGGTATGGAGTAAGAGACGACGTTAATGACTCCATGGACTCGCACGAACTCGACGACTAAGGCGCTGCTGGGGTGGTTTGACGATGTTATTGTGCGACATCATTTTATTTCTTTGATATCCTACATGCGCCATTCACTTCCTCCTTGTTAAAATTTTGCAATGGAATTCAGGTTTTACCTGAAAAGAAATACCTTGCTCCATTTTTTGTATATAGGCCTTTGTGCTCTAGGCCGCCGAGTCTTCATCGACTAGGCCACTAAGACCAGCACAATCGAGAGGACTTTTGTACATTCCCTCTACTTTGTCGCTTCTTTCCTTTGTCTCCTCAAAAGAAGTTCCTCTGACGGAAGAGGCTGGAGCTTTCTCATCTTAGCGAAGCTTGTGGGCTTCGAAAGAGTGAGGAGGGTTGACTTGGTGTTATTTGGCGTTTATGCTGTATATGATGGTATGAAATCGCATATTTTCTTCTTTTTCTTCTTTTCACGAATAGCTGGGATCTTTATATTCCGAGTGTGGATTGCTCGTGGCTTTGAATTAACTTTTTCTTTCCTTTCTTCTATTCCCTTTCTTGAATGTATTGATAGATGGTTTCATACTCTAAATCTCCATCTCGCAAGATGACTTATTCTCGCCCATGGCCGAGTTCCGATTTGGAGGCCACTCATAACTATGGCTGGGTCGACGAACGGCCCGGCCATCCATTCACTGAGGATGAAGCGAAGAGAAACAGGTTTTTGTTTTTCTGTTCTCATGGCCACATAACCGTCGTGGTCCCATGAGGGTATCTCTTTCCACTTACAACACTTCTTTTCGTCGCATTTCTCTCAGCGATCGGCAACGGAGGCCCTATCAAAGTACAGCATCAATCTTATATCTTAAGGATTGCGTGGACAGTAACCCCTAGGAGCGAAGATTCCCGACTGAGCCATAAATTGCAGTCGTATCTGAGAGGCCAGTTATTGATGGCGGTTCGTAGTAAGACAAGGAACAAGTTTTCCTTTCATCCCATCAGTTACAGCCAGGGGCGGGAATGGAGGAAAGGACCAATAAATGATATTATATCGTCCTAAAACGGACGATGTCTTTCCGAAACGGGGCTGGAAAGGGGAAAGGGGGGTGTGTAAGTCATTGTGTGGATGAAAAGAACAAGATTGCAATTTATTTCTCGATATGTACTATAATAAATTCTTTTAATTATCGAATAGCGTTTGCCTCCTCTTCTTAAAGGACAGTAACTCGTCATCCTTCCTTGTTTACTGATACGCTGGTGACAGATCTCGATCGGAAATAGTTTGAACTTCGGGGTTGCTCTCATAGACACCAGCACCCAAAAAAAAGATTAAGATGGGACTCACCGAACACCGGAATGGAGATCACTCGTAAGAAGAATTAAGAGATGTGGTGGCTGAGCACCGAAGTCGATCACCGGAGACGCGTGTTCAGCGGCGGGAAAGGGAGGTGGCTTCTGGCAGATCAAACGGAGGCGCCATCTTCGAGGACGAGTTTCTTTTTCGTTATTAAACTAGCATTGGTGGGTTCCGTACGCTTCTAGAACTTGGTAATCCTCAAGAGGGTGACAAGAGAGAGTGCGTCTCATTACGTTCGAGAATGTTACAGTAAATGGCGCGACGAAGTGATTCATCTTCAGTTCATCTAGTAGTCTTTTTCTTATAGGTTTTGCCTAGCCAGTAGTCTATTCTACTGATACCATGTAGATATCATGTAGCTGAAAGAAGAATGAAAAACTATACCACCAACACAAGAAGAGAGGAAACAGGAGGTAGGGAGGGTTAAGAATTATGTATATATAAGACAACAAAAAAGAAACATAAAAAAAGAACAAAAACGTGGCAGTTTTCTGATCTGTTTGTTCACGTCCCGAAACCAGTTAGGCCGTGAAATAATGGTCTTGTTGAAACCTCCGAGATGCTGTTGACCCGAGGGAAAAAAATATCGTTCCAATTTTGCTTTGTTCCCCTGTTTCCCTTCCAAGATAAAGGACGAAGTTACAAGACAGATGTAGCACCATCCCGTTTGTACAGTAATAGATTCGTTTCCGTTATTTTCCGTGTTTTCCACTATCCTACCCGGTGAGCGCAAGATCGCATTGCCTTGCCTATAGTTGACCAGTGAAGGATCCTTGAGTGCTGCTCTTCGCAACGGATTGATCATAATAATGAAGTAGTTTGACCGCTTACATCACCCAGAGAGCCACCAACACGGCGATGCCTCCCACGAGAGCGCCGCGAGCAGAAAGGCCTGGGGCAGCTGCGACGGTGGCGCCAGTAGCCTGGGCGTTGGCGCCCGTGGCGGAGGCGCCGACGTTGATGCTAGAGAAGGCGAGGCCGCTAGCGCTGTTGAGAACGTTGGTCGCGAAGGAGTTGGCACCGGTACCAACACCACCGGCACCAATACCGCCAACAGCGCCAGTGCCGATACCGCCAACGGCGCCACTGGGGTTGATGATGGGCGTAGGGATAGATCCGGTAGGAACGGCAGGGAGGGTGTTGGTGAACTGGCCGCCGGGGACGATGGTGGGGCTAATGGTCAACCCGGTACCGGCAATAGCGCCGGGAGCGCCAGCTCCGACGCTTGGGAAAACACCTGGGGTGGCAATGGGGGCGAGGGAGTCGGCCGAAAAGGCGGCAGTGTCGGCGGCGACGGATGCTAAGGGGTCGAGAGAGACAGCACCGGCGATAGCGGTGGATGCTTCAAGGACATCAGTAGCGGCGCCAGGGATAGCTGCGGCTCCTCCGATGACCTCGGCCGAAACACTGGCCGCGGCGCTAGGCTCCGCAGCAATGGCGCTAGCATCAAGAGAGGCAATGGGGGCAACGGAGGCGACAGAACCAATAGCCGTAGCTGCAGCACCGGGGTTGATTACGCTGAATCCGGCCTGAGGAACACCAACGGCGGCGGAGGCAACGGGACTGAGAGAGAGCGCGCCGGTTTGAGCAACACCACCATCAACGACGAGGCCGGTCTGGCTAGAAGCAGCGGCTGCCTGTTAAGTCAAATCATCAGCATTAGTCCATGGATAGATTGGGTAAAGGGAAGGGAGGGCAATCATACAGGGTCAATGACAGCAACCGGCGGCGTAGCTACTGGAACAGCACCGTCAACGGCGGCGGCGCTCGTCTCGACCGCGGGAACAGTCTGAATGTTGACATCAGCGGTGGCTTGTGATGCCTGGCTATTGATCACGCCAACGTTGGGAACTACACCCTCGTTCGTCGCAATCTGGGCGGCGTCGGTGACGAAGTTGGCTTGTTGGGCATTGGCAAACGTGGGCGTGACAGTGAGCTGGTCGCCGCTCAGAGGGATGAAGCCTCCTCCTGGACTTCCAGCGGCGGCGTTGTTGGCGGCGCCCGTAGCACCCGTTGCGGCCTGGTTGTTACCGCCAGCACCACGCTGCGTTTGGGCGTCGGCCTCGGGAGGCTCGACAGCCGCGGAGACTCGTCCGGAGGCGTTGGAGCCGTCATCATCCTCCTCATCGTCGCTGGAAGCCTGTTGGCCCTGGTTGCCACGACCTCCAGCTGAGTTGGCAGAGACACGACCATTTCCGCCATTTCCACCCTGTCTGTTAGAAGCAGCCTGAGCACCTCCGTTGCCACTATCAATGCTGAAGGCATCGGACGTGACAGTGTTGTCGTCGGAGTCGGTGAGGACGAGCTCGAACTGGTCAAACTGGCCGAGGGAAGCATCAGGGGTGAAGGCAACCGAGCCAGAGTTGTCGACGCCAGCTTGGATAATTTGTTAGTTGTGATTCGGACTTGGTCCTATCCATCTCAACTATGAGTCTTTTGATATTACTTACCGGCTACCTGCTGGGCGGCGTTCTCGTTGCCAACGGGGACGAGGCTAATATCGATGGGTTCTACTAGACCGTCGGTTTCCCAGCGAGCGGTGAACTCCTCATCAATCTCCAAAGTCTGCCCACGGGCAGGAGCCAAGAAATCTGCGCTGCCGAGGGCGATGCTAGAAAGCAGCGCCAGAGTCTGAGAGGTCTTCATCTTGAAAGATCGAAACGGTTCGGGATGAAAGTAAAGATCGACGGAAAGGAACAAACAGAAGGACAGCAAGCTGCCACGAAGAAGCGAAGTGACGAGTAGTCAATTATTGTCAATGACTCCAGGTAGTCCAGACCTGAGTTGGGTGTAAATGAATGTCGATGGCGAAGCGAAAGACTGGCTGGCAGTCGTAGAATAGACTAAAGGCAAAAAAAAAAGGCAAAGAAGAAAGATGCCTACAAGTATGAAAAGAAGAAAAAGACAAAGACTAGAAGGAAAGTGGAAGAGAATAGAGGGAAAGGGGGGATGGGCAGAAGGTCCGGTCAGAACCCGGGAAGTTGGGATGAGATATATGAGCTGCTTGATGGACGCAGAGATCCGCGACAGAGTCGGTCGGAGACGTCAACCCAGGTCAAGGGTACAGAGTCGTAGCACTACGTGACGGGTGTGGAGCAGGGAACCTTCTACTTGGACACGCCAAGAGAGAGGGCACTCCTGAGTTCGACCAGGGGAAGGTGTCGTCAGGAACAAGAAACATTGCTCAACTCTTCCAGCCACTCAAGATGCATGGCGGGATGTGTCGAAACATCAGGGATGGCTCATGAGGTGATGGTACACTCGATCTCCTCAGGTCTAGGCAAGCCCGGTTGATGCTCCATCAACAGGTCATGCACCATGGCGGTGCGCCGAAGATCATGGTGGGAGTGGTATAAACGAAGCCGGTAGAACATCGCGGCACGCTACTAACACCACGAGATCGGAGCCCAGAATAGGCACAGGATGGGCGTTAGCCGTGCGATCTTAACACGGGACGAGGGCTCGACCAAGGCAGCAGGGGGTCGCTTAATGTGCGCTTTGTTGCAAGTCAATTATCACCGTCTATTAACCGGCAGCAGGAGGTCAAAACAGGGCAACGAGATCTGACGGCTGTGGTTGTGAACGTGCGAAGTCATTCGAGGTGCGGTTCCTCTGGATTCTGAGACAAAGCCTTGCAGCAGATCAAACCTTCTGGCCGCGCTTTGCATTTAAGCGACTGGGACAGTCGACTCTAGTCCTGTTAGTGTAACACATAGAAAACTGCGGGGCCCACTAACACGCAACCCCCCTTGCTGTGACGTTTGGGTTTCCCCGGCTGTAACGGGAAAATACTAGTCAAGACAAGGAGCTTGTATCAAAGTTTCTTTGCCATCCCAGGCGACCCTTTTTTGCCCTGCCATACTACATCGCCATCTTCAAGTTGAGCTGGTTGCATGCGCCATCCCTGCATGCATCGGGAGTTTCTGAGTTAGTGTAGTGGGGAGGACCCAGAGCGAGGCACTTCACACTTCCTTCAGTGGGGGATCGTGAGAGGAGAATGACAGGCATCTCCAAGGACCGAAATCAAAGTGGTGCAAAGCATTTCCTCAATGCACACCCCCATAGTAATCGTTCGTGATATGTTGCTCCCCAGGCCTCAGTGTCCAAGAATCCAGGAAATCAAGATCGTCGCCGAGACTCTCGCTCTCGTCTTCCACGATCTATCACAGTAGCATTTTCCGTCTGTGCGAGAGCAATCGGCATTCCAACCCCTAGTGATCCGCGAGATACCCAATTTCGAGGAATTTTCAATTCATGTTATTCTGGATTTTGCTCCTTCGAAGATGTCGTCGAAGGGGAAACTCAACCAACATAAGTTTTCATCTAAGTTTGGGGGGAGGACGTTGGACGATTTCTATTTCTGAAAACCGGGCCGGCGTTTCAACAAGAAAAAAATACAAGGTACTAGAGCCAATTTGCAACAGCAGTTGATGGAGATTCGATTTAGACACCAGCATGCGCTCCAAAATGTGTCAAATACGCTTGTCATTTTATGATTTGATGTGAGACGACGGGACTCCTGCCGGGGTCATGGAAAACCTTCTCGAATGCTCAATCTGTCATCAGCGAATGCCATAGTGAGCCATGTGTGGCGCTATTGCCTATGCCAGGGCAAGCCACACATCCCTTCCAACAGTGGAGTTTAATGGGGCACTCATTGGTGTCATGGATTCGATCCAATGACATCAGCTCTTGACCCCTCCAGGCATCCATGTCGACCCTCGTCGTGACCTCAAGTTGCAAAAGGTGTCAACGGAGGCGCAAATATAGCATTTCGCAGGCGTAGTCAAGCTTATTAAAATATTTCGCCTTAAAATCCGGTTCCTAAAACTGTCAATTAAACGTTCGGACTTGAATGGCCTGTACTCGGACTTGAATATCCCATACTCGAGAACGCAATTTTAACCACCAGACTCGACTCTCAAGAGATGGCGACAAAGGCACCCCCAAACTACTGTAAGCTACCCCACAGCGCTTCGAAAACGGTCCTCGCGTCTAACTCGTAGCAGACGCGATTCTTGAGATCCCAGAGACCGCCTCAGCGCAGCAAATTCGAGATGCATATAAACGGTATGGTTCAGCTGCCCTTGTTCTCTCCAAGACGCGGCCCCCCTCCCGCTCCCCCGTAACACAGAACTAATTAGGTACCTCGATATAGAGCCGCCTTGAAGTCGCATCCCGATCGAGTCCCCGACGGCAGTCCCGAACGCGAGGCTCGCACTCGCAAATTCCAGCTCGTCAATGATGCGTACTACACCCTATCTAACCCCACTCGTCGACAAGAATACGACAGACAGCGCCGACGTTTCCCCTCTAGCACCGAGGGTGCTACTGACCAGACTGGTGCTACAAATGGAGACACTTCCACCGGTGCCGGCCCCGTCCCTGGAGCAGGAGAAGGAGCAGGGGCAGGAGCAGGAGCAGGAGCAGGAGCAGGAACAGGGACCGCGCAGGACGCATACTCGTGGGCATGGAGCTTTTTCACGGGCCAAGCAAATAACGCAGGCAGGCAGCAGGCCGAAGACCAGCAGTTCGGTGATGTCTTCGAGGAGATGCTTCGCGAAGAGGGCATGGCCGATCAGAACGGAGCGCCTACGCGCTCTTTCTGGAGCATCATCGGTGGTGTAAGTGGCGGGGCTCTGGGCTTCATCGTCGCCAATGTTCCGGGCATGTTGGCCGGTGCGGTTGCGGGAAACAGACTAGGCGCTGTGAGGGACGCCAAGGGAAAGAGCGTATACGCCGTCTTCCAGGTATGGTCATCTTTTGTTCATTTTTGACCTGTTGAAGCCATTGATCTGTCGCTCACATTCATAACAGGAACTTCCTCAAGACGACCGGACGAGATTATTGAGCCAGCTGGCGGCGAAGGTTTTCAGTCACGCGACTGGCTTGTGAAGATGGACATACTATGTAGTGGATCAGCGTTGGCTCGTTGAGCCTTTTATTTCCCTTTTTCCGTCCCTTGTCATTTTCGTGCTTTCTATGTCGGCCGGGCGCTTCGGGAGTATTTGGGGTATTCTTATGGAAGGAAATGCATTATTACGGAGCATAGAAGATGTTAGACCAATCCTGGATAATTTAGTCGCGCATTCCTTATGTCGAGGCTTGAGAGAGTCCAGACTTTGGGCTAAAGCACAGTATATTGTAAACCGACACTGTGATTTTGCGCGGCTTAGAAATCACGTCGCCATTTATTAGAATTATTACCGAAAGCACGCAACTGAGTCGATGGCATGATCTCGAGATCAAAGAAAAAAATAAATTCTCGGGGATTATTTTCTTCGCAAACGATTCCACCGACCCAACTTCTACAATCACTCCTTTACTCTCTATCGGGAATATACCAATATGGGTGCTCAAGTGTCAACTCTAGGTAATTCATATCTCCCAATTCCCGCCATTGACCTTGATTCTGATAGAATGCGATCCACAGCTCCTGCGGCTCCCGCGCCGATCCAGGCCGTTGCTTCCCCGAACGCGGATACCACTTCGAAGCCCAAGGTATGCTGTTTTTTAAGAACACTCCCAGCAGTGCCATGAGGCGGAACTAACGATTGGATCAGCCTTGCTGCGTGTGCAAGGACGAGAAGTCCGTACGAGACGAATGCATGCTCATGTCGAAGGCTGCGAACCCCGAAGAGGACTGTCAGACGACGATACAACAATACCGAGCCTGTATGGAAACTTTCGGGTTTAAGGTATAAAACAGAACGAGTTTATATGGAGGATTTGCGACGATAGGCGGCTGTGTACTATAATACCACGATAGAGATATAGACTTTGACGAACAATCAACACTCAACTGTTCTGAATTCGCGATGGTTTCAACTCTACTACTCGCTGACAGCCGAGTTTCTCAGCGCAGACGCAGCAACAGCGAAGAGATATGCCCGGAATGCTTGGGGGCCTTAGAGGCTATTGTATACGTCCCGTTGCAGTTGTGCGAGGTCCAGATTCTCCGCATCCTGCTTCCTCCCTTCTATTACCACCTTGAGCAGCGTGGCGAATTTCATACACTCCTTGCGAAGGGTATCAATCTTCTCTCGGATCTGATTCTCAATCGCCATTGTTTCCATCATAGCCTCCTGCCACTTGACCAACATGTCCTCTCGGGAGCGAATGCTGGACGACGGAAACCATCATCAGAGGATGTTACCAAGCTGCGTGGGTGGCACTTACATCTTCTGCTGGTCCTCCGTTAGGCGAGAATCGATTCGTTCCTTCACCTTTGCTTGGATTTTGGCGTGCTTTTCGGTCATGATTCTCTGGCGTCTATTCAAATTGCGTCGCAGCTAGGGCCAATCTCAAGTCAGCTACCATGCCCAAGGCCACCATGACCTTTCATGGCGTAAAGAGTACCTCTGTCATCTTATGCTGGGCATTGAACAAGATATCCTCCGGGTCCTCGGGCTCCGAGGAGTCCCTGTTCTTCCGAGCGGATTGTTTGCGAGGCATCTTCGACACGGTCTATCTACGAGCACCGGAGTTGTTACCCGGATTTGGGTTGAGAAACCTGGATGAAAGGGGGGGAATCGCCTTGGCATGAGTTGTATTTTGAAACTAAATCATCCCGTTGAAATATGGATTGATAAACAGCATTGACATCACAATTCGGGAGTGGGGATAGAAGGACGAGAGCGGTAGGAGCACTCCAGCTTCGGGGCTCCATGGCTCGTTTCTTCGGGCATTCCCAAATCAAGCAGGAGCGAACCGACTCTTCTCTCTGCTGAAGTAGAGGAAGCCACGACAGTGTTCGTTCATTCACATGCCAGCGTTCTTTACCTATGGGATCAACTGCAGCGAGTCCTTCCTTCAGATCGAGAGTCGGCATCATCGCCAGACCGAGAGATCTTATTCGCGCTTGCACGCCTGGTAGAATGAAATGTTGAGGACTTACGCATATTTCGTACCTACATTGCTGCGGACTGACACTCGTATATGCCCTTCAGGTTACTATCATTGGCCTTCCTGCCCGCAGCTACGTCTCAAAACGGGAGGACATCCCCAGGCGTATACAGATATTATTTGCCTCCTTTCGTCCCGATGAGGACCAACACGAGCCCTTGGTGACGATGGCAGAAAACCGGCAATTACAAAATGCGTTCGACCTCCTTCTCATGGACAACTCGCATAATCCGTGAGCCGCCGGGAATACGAATTGAAGGCTTCCGCCTGGCGGCTGCTTTTCTCTATTTCGTATCGTGTACTCCCAGCGAGTGCACGATATTTTGAGGTGTTCACCCCTGTTGGAAGTTTCGACTATTGGAATCCCCGAAAAAGCTTCGCCAAACCAGGCCATACTATTTGTTCAACGACCGCCGCTAGTCAGAAGATTCCTCCGCCTGACTATTAATTACCTCCTCCGGGCTCCGCCCGGAGAAGATTCGCAGCGTCAACACGTATGCTTGTCACCCTTGTCCATCCAGAAGCGGTATCAAGATGGTCGGCTTTGTGCGCTACAAACGGTTTTTTCCAGTTGAGGGTGGGGATCACTAGCTTAGAAGGGAAGAAAGCAATCTGCTCTAGAAGCCAGATGTTCTTCTGCTCTGTTGACCTCGGTCACTTATTCCAAGGGGAAGCTTAATCTGATACTCTTCCGCCTATGTGTTGGCTGTTCTTTTCTTCTTCTTTTCTCTTCCTCTCGCTTCTTTCCGTCCCTCATTTCTTTAGTGGCTCGTTTCTATACTCCGCATAACGCCCATGAGGCGGACTAGGATGTCTAATAAGAAGGCGGTTGTTTCTAACTCATCACACTCATTTGTTATTGCTTTTTTGCCCCTCCTACCTTTTAGTTTCTTGAGTCGCCGCCATCAAGTTGCAGTTTCAGATCACAGCTCTGTGGCGGAGCTACAGGTCCCAACTTGTACAAATCCAAGGCCCCCAAGGCCAGCTCGTGCCGTGCTCGTTCATCTACGAGACGCAGTTCTTTGCCAACTAGTACGAAATCTGAGTTCTCTGCCTCTTCGACCCTTGTGCAAACGCAGTCGGCTGGAACGACCGAATCCGCTACGAATCTCCTACCAATTCAGATACTCGGTCTTTCGAGTCTACGGAATCAGAACCTCCATCCATAGCACCAACGATCGACGCAACGTCTACGTCAATCACCCATGAATCGGCCACAGCTTTTACTACTGAATTTGCTACCTATTCGAATGTACAGTCAACGGAATCCGAAGCTGGGCCTACATCATCTGCTACCGACACATCCCTAGAACCAGCCACGACTTCTACCACTGAATCCACTACTGCCTCGGACGAACAGTCTACGATATCAATAGAACCGGAAACTGAGCCTACATCGTCCACTACCGAGACATTCCAGGAACCAGCTACAGAAATAACGTCAAGATCGGCCACAGACTCTACTGCCGAACCCGCAGCTGATTCGACAAGTGAGTCCTCTGTGATTGAAGCGGTAACTGAAGCCGAGTCGGCAACGGAATCGGCCACCACGCCTTTCACATCACCAAGTGACGAACCAGAAACGTCGTTTGCATCCGAGTCCGCTACCGAGTCTTCCATCGAATCCGAGTCTACGTCTTCACCTTCAACAACCGCAGGCCTAGAGCTATCTACCTCTATAGAGGTTGCCGAGACAGCTTCTGCTATCACTGAAGCTGCCACTACTGAGGATTCCACCACCAACGAGCCAACAACCTTTTTCACGGTAACGTCAACCCCTGAACCTACGCGGCCAGCGATTACCGGGATCGCGTAAATCATCCTTGACGGTCAACCTCAAAATGAATACCTCGGAGAGTTTGTATCCGGCAGTATTTCCTACGCCTTCTATACCTCAGATCGTTCAGCCGCAATGCAACTGACCCTCCAGCCCGACGGTCAGCTTTTCTGTGGTACGAAAGTTGCCAAAGGAAGCCCTGTCGGCGGCATCATCAACGCTGTAGGGTTTTTCTTCATAGATCCGTCCCTCGCTACGACTACGCGTACGCCGTACGTTCGCAGCCTAAACGCGAATAATCACTTGTCATGCTATGTGAATGATCCCACGGTGAACTTGGTATTTAGATTTGCGGCAAGGTAACTTTATCTATAATAGCGAGCGAGAGATTGCATTGTCGTCGGGATAGCCTATTATCTCGTTGTTATTCATAACCTCGTGATACTGAGAATGGATTTCACCAATGGCAAGTTGGGTGCTCTCTCCTCTAGCAGGTAGTAGTGGGTGGGTGTCTTATTACTTTGTGCAGCGTTGTGGTCTTGAAGAGTATGCGTTCGACGGCACCTATTCTCACCGGCCTACATATTCACACACTATCAAAACCACCATTCACGGTCTCGGCCGGGAGGAACGTCAAGTGCCTATGTAGCAACGCAGCAGCTATCACATCTAGGCCCTTAAGGAAATCCGTCCGACTTTGGTGAGACAAGCAGATTTGGTTTGAGCCGCTCTCTACCCGTCATTCGCGGTTCCTCCGAGCCAAGCAACTGCGTGTTCCCGTGTGTCCAACAACCGGCCTCTTTTCAAGACTCGGTGCGCCCATCTGCGAGTTCGGTGGGGACTCTCCGCAAAGTTGCAGATGGCTGCTGCGCTCAAGTAGGCAATGCTGTACACCACCCGAGCATCTCGCTAGCGCACCGTGACGCCAACAACTGGGGACCTTGCTCAGCCCTCGCGGTGGAATTGTTCGTTAAATGACCCTCGGTTCCTTGGCTTTGGTCAGGGCAGACGTCATCAGATTCTGGGTGATGGGCGGCGCACCAATGATACGATCGGTTCTCGACGCGGCCTCATGACCAGCGTCATCGGTCATCCCCGCCATGATCGAGCCAGGCCAATGAAGACTGCCGATTACCCTCATGACATGGTGCCTCATTCTGTAAATTCCAAAGTGTCTCCAGATGGACACTCAGGGTCCATTTGCAAGTGACAAAATGGACCCCTGGTTTGCATTCCAGAAAATGCCAGACGAAAACGAAGGAACGAAAAAAAGGTCTATAATAGCCACGCCCACCCCACTAGTACTCTTTCAACAAAGACCCGTTCGCCACCTTACTTTTCACCATCTCAGACGATCAACATTCATATCAATCGACTAAAGTTTAGCTATATCAATTAACTTCCAGTATGGGTATGACGTACAACGTTCCTGGAGTTTATCATCGGACTGTGCTGACCTCGCTCCATAGATGACCACCATCACCACCATCACAGACATAGGAGGAGGGTGTACGTCGAGGGACCGACTTACCCGACAAGAACGATCAAAAAGAAGACGACTGTAGTTTACATCCCTCCACCATGTCCACCTTCTCCACCCCCGGCGCCATGTCCACCGCCGGTCGTCGTGGTACCTCCACCGCCTCCCCCACCGCCGCCACTCCCTCTTCCGCCTCCGCCAGTCATCTGCCCCGTGCCGGAACCAAAGCCGCCCTCACCACCCATCTGTGAGCCGGAACCAGAGCCGGAACCGCCTTGTATCATCGAGGTAGATGTAGAGTCATCATCGGGGAGGTCGTCCAAGTCCTCCCGCTCGAGCAAGTCAAGCCGGAAGAGCCGGAGCCGGAGCCGAAGCCGAAGCCGACGTCGGGATAGGGAGATTTATGTCGAAAGGGAGAGAGTTATTCCCATCGAGGTCGAGAGGGAGAGGCTCGTTCCCATCAAAATCCCCGTGCCCTATCCTGTCCCAGTAGAGAGACGGGTTGAGCCTAAACCAGAACCACATCCACAACCCCGGCCACAACCCCGGCCAGCCTACAGATATGTCGACGTGCCGGTGTATGAGAGGAGGAGCCCGTCACCGTCGAGCGTTTCCAGCGTTTGTGAGGAGACGGAAATTGTTGTCGTTGATGAGCGAGGACGCGCTCGGCAGTACTATGATTGATTTGGAAAATATTTGGATTGCTTGTTCTTGTATGATTTATTCAGATATGTGTTACGACTATGGGTAGAGCCTTATGAACATGACATCACGGAAATGTTGAATGGCGGCATGCATGGCAATGTTATTTGGTATGATGGGAGCTAGTTTTCGAGTTTATATCATGAACCAGATTCTAGAACGCGATTCATGGAAAGATAGCCCAGGGCCTGATCTGACAATATGTTGCCACTACTGAGACTTGATGGGACGTTACAGCTGAGACTCGACGAAAAAACCCTAAACTGAACCACGATATCGCATCAAAGTCAACAAGTGGTCGCGTGTTGTCCCAGCAGCCGTCATTAATTCCACCTTTCACGTTTCACATCTTCGAGGAAAAGTGAGCCGAGAATAACCTAGAGAACGCCCGGACACACGCGACATATCTTAGCAAAAAGCTATTGATGATTTCACCTTTCATCTGATATTTCTGAGACTCTTGACATCCTTTACTCTTTCATGTTTCACCGGGAGGGCACATGAGGAGGGCGGCCATTCCTGGGGTAAAGGTAAAGGGGGGATGATGCCCCCGCGAAAGGTCCGTGAGAAGGAAGGTCGGGTCGATGTCAAGGCTTGAATTGAGAGCGGCTAGGGTGGTAGTCCGGCATAGGCTGCGGAAGGCGATGCCCGGCTGTCACCACTTCGAAGTTTCGCCAAGCTGCCATCGAGGCACACGGACAGATCGCAGCGTCGTATACTTCCACCCCTGAAGGTCGTAGTTGGCGTAGAACTCCGAGGAAAGTGCATCTCCGTCCTGTGGCCTGCCAACCCCTCAAACCTTATCTCCAATGCTTCGCTGCACCAACGAGCCACCGACGAGCCGTCCCATTTCATTTATTTTTAAAATGTGGCTGTGTGTCTCCACGAAGCAAAGCTGAAGAAGAACCGCTGCAGGGTGATGAGCGCTGCATCATTGAGCAATCATTGATGCTGTGTCCCGTCCCTGGAATGCCTGTGCTGCCCATTGTTGTTAATAGAAAACCGTCCTCCATCCCCGCCTCCTACGCTGTACCGCACTTGCAGAAATGATGAAACTAACTCGAGACTCCTGAAAGTATTTGCCGAACTTGGACGCCTGGCAGAGCATCTGGAGATGTGTTTCAGATTTTTCTTTTTAAGGTAAAATATGCGAAGTCCAAAATAGCCTTCTAGTTCCTTGCCAGTGGTCAATGAAGTCAATCAAGAGGATCCGGACTCTGTTCGTTCGCCGAGTGCATTCGCGAAAGATGCATCAAAAGGTGCCTGGTGACACAGTCTTGAGGTGAAATAAATGTCTCAGTCTCACAACAGTGTTCATAAAAGAAAGAGCTCGAAAACCGGCCAGACTCTGATGAGGATGCTGTAACACGATGCTTCATGCGTATATTCTAAGAAAGTTGAGTGTTGCAAGCCTAGGGAGCCCGGGAACTCGAGGCGAGAGCCGGTCATCCCGGGTCACGATCACAAAAGCCAACTCCGATAAACCGAGCAAGGCGGTCGGAATAAGGTCTGGGTTGGAATTACGGAAATGGAACGCGAGTCTAGAACCCGATAACCACCGCCACCGTGGTTGATGAAGAATAAGTGTCCTTGAATGGTTCAATAGAGATCGGTGATCTGAAATGCTTGTTTTGCGCTCGGCCGTGTGTCTTTCCGCCCAAGATCGCCCCGGTTTACCCTGACCACGATCCGCCTGAATGAATGAGCGTTGTGGCGATCATATCTCAGATATCCAACATTCATCTCCTTTGATTCGGCCTGATCTGTCAAGAGGATTGCGTGTGCAAAGGCAGCGAGGGACGCACCGGTCGAGGCAAGCTCAGGAGCTGGAGCAGGGTTAGAGAGATCAGACTACGACAAACACTTGGCAAAATGAGGTAAATGAAGTTAAAGTGTGTTGCTCAATCCGGGGATTTGTTATTCTTTTTTCGGTAGGGTTTCAGGAGCCCGCGGCTTCTTCACACAAGGTTTCGATTCGTCGCAAGGTGGGTGTGTAAAGGGCACATTTCTCCTCCTCCCAATACACCGGCCCGCCCTAACGCGCTGTCAAGCGGAGAAGTGTACTTCAAGAGTGAGATCTTGGGCTATCGCTGACGCCGGCTGTCCACACCATCATCCATTCGTGAAGGGTGCGAGGATGGACCGCCGTGCAGAGACCGAAACGTTCTCAGCCACACGGGCAGACCTGAAGATTGCGAAGTGTGTGACTGGATGGGGGACTTCCGTCTCTTTTCCAGACAGAGGAGGTCAGAGAATCTTAAGAAGAGTGGTGGTAACAATCATCTGAATGATCCAAACGATAAATTTAGTTCTAAAGGATGGTGCCTAAGCACGAAGATCGAGGCTTGGGCCTGTGCCGAAACCATCACTCGAGCCAGTGCCAGTCCTTTTGTTGATACTCTCCAGCGCGGACAGGTGCTTGTTGTTTGAGTTGTCCTTGTTTCTGGATTTGAACTGAATGCTTTCAAATTGTCGTTTGGCGATCCCCTACCATTCATAGCAAAACACGTCACGCGTCTCACCTTGCGTTGGCTGGCTGAAGCCTCGCAAAAGCTCGATCGAGTGCTGTGGGCAAGACACCATCTTGTCTACTTCGTACTCATAGAAACCCTGCTGGGCTGTCAGCTCAAGGTTTGACAGCCAACTTCCAAGAATAGACTGATTATTATTAGTGCAATCTTGTGTCGCAAATAAGCATGGCGCTTCTTCCCCAGACTAACAGCGCCTTACCAGCAAAAAATGATACTGACGCCACCAAAGCAAGCAGATCGAGAAAAGCAATCAAATCCCTGAAGTGTTTCCGAGAGGGGGTTAGTGCGAAGAGGTTTAGCCTCTTCTGTATTAGTCTAGTGCTCTTCATCTTCCCAAGCCGTTTGAGGCGCTTTCTCCATCTTGCCAAGTGCCCATTCATTCTTCGAGACTCGAGTCCATTCGAGTACTCCAAGTCCCAAATGTTGAAACATTCTAATCTATACGGGACGAGTTGTCTTAGATGCTGCTTCTCGTGGCTGTAAGAGGGTAATAATTCATCCCACATTCAATTTCCGTCACATGCAGGAACCGGGCGAGATGTTTCACGGGTTCTTCTTGCCGCTGCAGCCATTAAAACCTCGCTTGGAAGGGGCGGGTGGCAGAGGACGATTGGAAGGTACATATGAAGTAATTTACGTGAGTAATCCAATCCAGTGCGAAGCTCAACTAACTAGGCAAGGACGATGGGACGGAGGAAACTATTCAACGTTACTTCACACTTCATAAACTACAAAGTCCGAGGCCCCTGGTTATTTCCTGAGACCAATTGACTTCGGCGTGTCTTGCTTGGCGCCGTTGCTCACGCTGGAAACTAAAACGTGAAGTCGAACACGGAGATTATAGCAAGCTTTAATATTACGGGCTCCGCTTCTAGCGGACTAAACCATGAAGTACGAGGAGATGGACTCTCTGTTGGAGAACTGTCTGTCCATCTTAATGAAATTTGGACGAATTCTCGTACCACCCACGCCCACACGATGAAGACTCCACAGGCTTTTGTCTTCCCCAGATCCTTGTTGCCTGCTTGCAGCAAATTACATACTTCGTACACCGCCTAGGAAAACCTACTTGGGCAGTCATGGATGGAATTTCGCGCAAGTAGTCGAGTTGCCCACGTGGGAGACAGATTGAGAAGTTGGTCCGTATCAAAGGGGTCAAGATGACGTCGGGAAAACCATCGACGGATCAAAAAGCTTGTTCTGAGGTCCGTATTCAATGGCACGTTGACCCTATCATCTGAACTACTTCGTATTAAACTATCAAAGAAGGTGGGAAGCTTGCCCAAAGGCCCATTGTAGCCACCTACCGCGGCCATAGGGCATCTTTATTCGTTTCGTGTTTTATTTTCTCGATCGCCTGGTATCCGATCCGGATGGTTGGGTCAAAGGCTCGAACAGAGCCTGCGTATCTGTGCCAATCAAGCCCCAGCCACTGCGTACGCCCTACAGAGCCCCCTTTCTGTCAGAAGAGTGTGCACTTGGAGTTTGTGTTCATTTACGACCCCACGCCAACGTTCTGCAGGAGAGCCGACATTGAATGATTCTCTCTCTTCGTTTTCTCGGTCACCACGCTTGGGCGTTAGCAACGGACTAGCCCCGGGCATACGAAATGGTGGCAGTATTGAAGGCGGAACCCCGGCCATCAACTTCTTCATGTTTACCCCAATCTTTTTCTTACAATTCCCTTATCCGATAACGGCGAGCAAGACCTTGATAGCTACCACACAATGTATCTTTTCACACCTCCTCTCGAAGTCCGAGCCGAAGCACAGATCTGATGTGTGGATTACTTCGCAAGAGCCAGTGAATCCGGGGTTTCCCCAGGTTGGACGACAGTTAATATTCCACAGCCTACGAAACCGGCTCGGTGCAGGTTCTACACTAGGTGGTACAGGGGGCCATTTTTTGTAGGAGGTGGAAAGGAAATAGATGTATCCAAGTAATTTACGATATCCCTGCGAAACTAGGACCGAGAACTGTCGTGGTTCCTCAGAAATACGAAGTACCCTGATATCATCTCCGCACAAAATTCGAGAGCAATAGGGTCTACATACTACCACTGCGTACATCATAGAGATCAGCCGGTTCTAGTTTACCGCGATGCGTATACACTATTACGCTTCAGCCGTGGGGACTCGCAACGGCCGGGCCCATCCCCCACA